CGAGAATCTCGATTTTGAATCGGAAGAATATTCTATGCAATTAAGAATGAAAGCTGATCAAAATAAAACACATGAACGATACGCTGTTATTGACGACTTTCTTCAAACGTTCTGTAGTTTTCCGAAAATTAACTGAATAGTTCGAAAATCATTTCCGTCGTTAAAGCGCCTCTTGTTCCGAAAAAGGTACACGCCTGTCAACATTCATCGTTCAATAAAAAAGTGTTAGATACAAAATGCTTCATATTGTAAGGCCAAAATATATTTAGAAATCAAAAGTCATATAAACAAAAAAATCATATAAGTGAGATAACTACCAAATTATATGATTTACGAGTTTATTCTTATTATCTATAAAATAGGTTTGCAATGTGCTGACGTGGAATGTTATCATCGACTAAAAACTTTAAATCTTTGTATTAAATTGATCGAAAACAATCCATAAATTGGTTTAGACTATAGAGAATGTTTCTAGTAAGCAGCGACTAATTTTTATTATGGAACCGAAAGACCCTTTTAAAAGGGTTCAAAATTAAAATAAAATATGTACCAAGTAAATGTAGTAGTATTTTTTAATTTATATTGAAAATGGTAACATGAAAGGTTTTTTGTCTAATTGTAAGTAACGACTCATAGTCTCGGCTGACAAAATGTAAAAAAATATCGAACATAATAGTCCTGGGCCAAAAGCAACTGCCCCCTATTTTGCACTCTACAAATTAAATTTAGTTGTAGCAAATGATATTAAATCAAATAAGATGTCAAATCACAAGCAAAATCTCGTGACTACAGTACTAATGATTTCCGAAAATTAACTAATTCATATTTTATGTCATATCTTTCTTAATAAGGACTTTCAGAACCATATTTGCCTTACTTGAATTTTTTTCATCGTTTTCTATAATCATCTCTAAAAATGTATGACTGAAACATCGTGTAAACGTTTTGTTCGATCAATAAAAAATTTGCACCGGTCCTGTTCGAGTCAGCACCGTTATACGCATGAGCTCCGACACACTATTTTCTCCTTATGGTTTCATTTTTGATATATGGAATCGGCTTTCTATACTATTTCTATGGTGTAACTACAACACTCTATGAATCGGACTGAAACTTGGAAGTGAGGTTAACTAAAGGCGATAGTTTATTTTGATTAGAGCCGTTTGATTCGTAACGCCCTCTAATGCACGGTATGCAAAACTTAAAGACAGCCCTCGAAGAATACCACCAACGGTTGCCCCTGTACTATAATAATCTAATTTTAATAACGTTTATACATAATTTAGTAACCACACAGCTTCCCATACAACACACAAAATTTCGGAAATATTTCAAAATTGTAAAATTGAAATATTTGTAATGTTGTATAAATATTACGAAACGTCCCAGAAACATTTCTGGAATGTTTCTGAAATGTAAAATTTTATAGAAATATTTCAGAAATAAAAATTTGAAACCTTTCAGATATATAACATAGTTTCATAAATATTATGAAACGTTGTAGAAACGTTTCTAAAATATTTCTGAAATATCAAAATAGTCTACTTACAGTAAAAAATTGGATGTCATAAACCCCTGGCGTCTTATCGAAAAACCACCCTTTACTAAAGGGAATTATTGTTTTTTTTTGACAGTGAGGCCTGACATTAAAAAATTCTCCTTTTTATTTTTGAGTTTTTTTTAAGTTATTTGAAAAATGTTCATTTTAACGACTTCTATACATAGTTAAAAAAAGTATAAATTTAGGATTCCCCTGTATATATATATTTGACAAAATTAAAAATAAAATAGAAGAACATAGAATAACTATTTACGCCCGTATGCACCATACACATTTAATCCAGATCAAGGGTTTAATCGCGTTTAGTACCATTTTTAGCTATGGTACTAACGCGATTAAAACCTTGATCTGGATTAAACGTGTACGGTGCATACGGGCGTTAGTTATGTTATGGGGATAAGCGTTGTTTCATCAAAAAAAGAAAATAAATGAGGTTTATAACAGTTTTTCGTTCAAATAAAAAAATACAGGTCCACAAATACGTATCTGGATCACCCGGTATACTTCCAATATTACTATAAGGTGAGCCAAATATTGATATACACATCAGAAAATCATTTGAATAAAAATGTTTGAAAACGGATCTGTATAGGCGAGTTAATGGGTCGTATTAATAAAACCGAAACAAATGCTTTTACTTCAATTTTTTTTGTGTCATCGGCATCAACACTACTAAAAGGTTATTAGCCTCGTGTTCTGAGCAGGCTTTGTCACTGTTTCCCAGCATCACTTTAGGAACAGCACTGTTAATTAAAATAGTGAATGGTCGAGTGAGGAATCCTACCTATCCATTAGAATTAATATTTAATTTATTAAATTAAATAAAATGCCCTGCCACCGGCGCGCGGCGTTGGCAACTTCAAGCAGCTCAGATTTTAAATAGGAGTCATCAAAGAATAAAAATGGGGATGTTAAGTGTGGTTAAGGGGGGTTGAAATATAAAAAAAATCCTAACTCAAAAAAGAAATATGATATCAACTTGATTTTTTTAGTAAAAATCAAGCTCTAAAAGGAGACAAATCCTATTGATTTTGAAACATACCTGATTAAAAATAGGGGATTTAAGAGGAGCTAAAAAAAAAATCAAAATTCAGAAACGAAAAACGATATTAACATGAAATTTTTAGTAAAAATCAAGCTCTATAAGGAGATGAAGTCTATTGATTCTGAAAAATACATTAACAAAAATGGGGGGTTAAGGGCGATTGAAATATTTAAAAAAATTCTAACTCAAGAACAATATCAACTTGAAATTTTTGGCAAAAATGAAGCATTATAAGGGGACAAATCCTATTGATTTTGAAAAAATCTGAATAAAATGGGGGTCAAGGAGGGTTGAAATTAAAAAATAGAAATCAAAAACCAAAAGCGATATCACATGAAATGTTTAGTAAAATCATACTCTATAAGGGAATGAACAAATAATACAAAAGTGCACCCAAAAATAGTTATAAGATAAAAATTTAAATGATTTTTTTTAACGTTGCTCTTAAACCGTTTGGCATTTTTTCATGACATTTTATATGACGTGTTAGAATACCATGACTAATAATACCGAGGAAGAGGCAATATTTTTTCTTGATTTTTATAGGTTTTTGGAGGGGGTCACCGCTCTTTTCTCCACTCAACTTTTTTGTAGTATAAAATTATTTAATTACAAATTAAACGCCACTGGAATGCAACATCCATTTGGAAACTTTTTTGTCTCTTAGTATTTGTTTGTGAAAAATTTAATTTAGACGATACAGCCATTTAAAATGACAACTTAAAAATATTCAATGGAAATTCTATGTATGAAAAATATCAAAATCAAGTTTATTTTTAAATTACAAACTAATGTCATCAAAATAAAAAAAAAAATGAATTACATTCTCCTCCTGTATACACTTACTACATAGTTTTAACAATGAAAATCGAATTTTGATATTTTTGGATACGTATAATTTACATTGAATATTTTTAAGAAGTCATTTTAAGTGGCTGTATCGTCTAAACTAAACATTTTACAAACAAATACTAAGAGACAAAAAAGTTTCCAAATAGATGTTGCATTTCAGTAACGTTCGATTTTTAATAAAATTTTATATTACAAAGAAGTTGAGTAGAGAAAAGGGTGGTGACACCCTCCAAAATCCTACAAAAATAAAAAAAAATATATTGCCTCTACCTCGATTTTGTTAGTCATGGTATTCCAACACGTCATATAAAATTTCATGAAAAAAGGTCAAACGGTGTAAGAGCAACGTTAAAAAAATTAATTTAAATTTTTATCTTATACACCCTGTAAATATTTTTGTGTGCACTTTTGTATATAGGTAAGTACAGTTTAATCGACCTATTTTTGACCCAAGAATATGTGGTATAATTTATGACCAATCTTTTTGAAACACCCTGTATAAATAGGCGAAGTAAGGAGCCCAAATATTTTACATGAGCAGGCTTAAGAGGTAAAGGGGCCAATTATTATTGGAAAAATTGCTCGAACAAGTTTGTAAACCCTAATCAAAAGGCGATATAGAATGGTTTTAAAAATCAAGGCTTGCGAAAATCATCACATGGTTTAACCTATGTAATGCCAATGCTTCACAAACCAAAAAAATTAAACGTCCTAATACTACTATCGGCTTTTGGTCTTTCATTCCAAGTTAAATCATTTCTCGTTTTTTTTACGCTACGAGTTTATCTTTGTGGGCCTCAGTCTCGATAAAGTGGGTAACACCATTTTAGCGTCTCTCGAATTTATAATAAAATTTTAAATCCAACTACAAATAGCAAGCAAAAAAGACGACGTGTCACTTTTTGTAGAGAGATGAGGGACTATAATATGTTCATAGTATTTTGAAGTTTATTTAAGAGGGGAGCTGTTACAAATAATTTCTAACAGTATAAGAAATTAATAACTTTGTATAGTAATCAAAGAAAATTTGTAAAATGTATTGGTTCGATGGGCGGTATCATCATCTAACAATGGGCATTATGAGTGGGTTTATGGTAACTCATTCTCAAAACATAATAAACAAATAATAAGTACAAAATAAAATAGTTTTGGACTAATTTTATGTCATGTATGATGACTATGTCACAGGAAAGAAAGTGGTGGTATGTTTTACATGCCCACTGCTTATGACTGTAGAGGGTTAATCCACGGGGATGGGGTGGACAAACGCTATTGATAGCCATCACTAGCTCACAGAACTATAATGGATTGTCTTTATATTTATAGCACTAAATTTAAGGCAAAAAAAATTAATGTTACAAAAATTCAATTTTTTATTCCCTATTATTTAGTAGATTAATATTAGAAACATTCATGTTTTGCAGTGTACAAAAATATAAAGTCAATATTGATCATCTCAATTATTGTATATTATCGGAAGATACTATATCAACCTTAAAAAAGAATAATTTGAAAGTATATAGCACAAATATTGCTGAAAGTTTGATATGAAAATATTACAAATTAATATTTACTGCATAAAGAGATGTAACCAAATTTATTAAGGTCAATAAAATGTCTTCCTTCTGTTGATTAGACTTATCATAACACATTGTTACATATATAAATGTTCCTTAAATATTCATATGACTATAATAATCCTGAAACACTTGAACATAAATTTCTTTTTCACTTTGACTCATTTCCGCTATAATAGTATCATTGATATCAGTTATTGAATATGTTTTATTACCAACTGTAATAGTAGGAACATCATCATTTTCATCATCTTCACTTTCTATAGTATCAATATTGTCCAAGTCATCATTGACTTCATTCAATTCATCTGAGCTGGATTCAGATTCATTATTGAGACCTTTAATAGCATTAACTGTTGTGTTGGTTTGTTTCTTTTCATGAGCCAGAAGCACTGACATTATGTCATCATTCTTGGCATTAGTAGCACCTACAGACAAAAATATATGATTATTTGATATATCACAAAAAATCTTGGTTCTCTTACCAGTTGCCTCAGAAATATCTCCCAAGCTGTCAGTAGCTTTATTTGCATCTTGAGAATCCAAGTTAGTAATGACTGTAGATTCGGTCATCCAAATTGGTTGCTCCTTTCTACTAACAGTGGAATTACTCTCATCTCCTATTGTAATATCTACTCTAGTCTCTTCTGCAGCAAATCCACCTCTTCTAGTAGCTTCTCCAGACCATTCTTGTCCAGATGCCAAAGCATTGCTCTTCTTGTCCAGGCCTCTAATTGTGCTAATATCTACTGGTTCAGGTTCTAATACTTCAGGTGCAAGTTTAATTCCCTCTACCTCACGAAGAAGAATGTAAAGAGGTTCTAATTGTTCATTAAATTTTGCTAATAGTAACCTAAAAATATGTTTTCCAATGTACAAACTAATTCCATTTTTTTATAATCATTTTAAGCTATACAGCCCAGCGTTGGATAAAACCTAAGAATTAAATAATATATAAGTAGAAGTAGGTTTTAATTAATGTTATTTAAGTTTTTTGAGGTTTTATAGGTTTTTAGTTCATATGTGTCAAAAGTTATTAAGTATCAATAAAGTTAAACAAAAAATACAAGCAAAACTTGAAACATTGAGGTTTATTATATTAAAAAAAATCAGTCTGCAAACAAAAAAAAAACTAAAATGTCAAAAATAAATGATATTTTTTTTGTCACTATCATTAATATCAATATCAAAAAGTTCCAGTGGTAGGTATAAATTTTGATAAAATATTTGTATTTGCTTCATATACATTAAATATTGCACCCTTTCTCCTGAGAGTTGATTAATAAAATTGTGAATTCTTAATATATTTCTTAAAAAAACTAAAATTGCAGAATTGTCTATTTTAGGATTTATAAAAAACCTACGTGCAAAAAACCTGTATCTGCCAACCCTGATACAGCCTTACCTAGAGTCTTTTTTTGGCAGAGCTGAAGAGTCTTCTTCAACAACCTCACGACAATATGTACAATGGAACTCTCCAGTTGCAAAGTCAAAGAGTTGATCAGCTTCTAAATCTGTAAAAGTCTTTAAACATCCGGGACACTTGAAACTTGCTCTGCTTGTAGCATCACGCTCTTCAGTCTCTAATCTTTTTCTCATTAAATCTAATTTATATTTGACTACGTTTACAAAGGTTTTATAGTTAATAAAATAGTAATTTACTTTTTGAGCTTTACCATCTGATCCAGTCTCCATTCTTAATCTTACTTGTATAAACTTATCATTTTTTAGTGTTGATATTCTAGCTCTCAGCATCTTTTTTTCAAACCTGAGAAGTTCGCACACATCATCTTCCTTCATGCAGGGATTTCTTACTAACATATCAATTATTAACGCATCTTCTATAGAATAAAAACCTCTTACAACTAATCGAGCCAACTGTTTAAGGCTGCTCGGGACCTCCGTGACAAGTTTTTCTTCAGTCATGGTAATACGTACGTTATGCGTAAAGAATGAACATCATATTAAAAGACTAATATTGATAAAAAAGTACTTTATTTTAATTAAACTTAAAACAGACTTCTTCGTCTACCATTTTCAATTTTTTTGTGTTTTTTAGGTTAAATTAAACTGTCATGGATAAGGTCAAATGTGTCATACGTTTAGGTATCCGAATACCATGAAAAATCAAGACCAAATACATTTTTATTAGCGTAGTATAAAAATGGTTGTTCATTTACAGTTACATATACATTATAAATATAATATGAAGCTAAAGGAATTTTAAACTAAATTAAAAACTCCACCCAAGATCGGTTATAACTATTTTTCATTTTCGAAATTCTGAACGCAGCTCCCATTAAAGTAAATATGGCAACGCCGAAGTAATGTTTTCAAGATCAGGAAATTTCATTGGCTCTTAAATTTGATTGGCCAAAAGAATTCATTTACAAACCTTCCCCTCCCCCCTCCCCCTCCAAAAGCCGAAGTGACGTTGACATTACCTTTCGCAAAATGTGGCGTCCATTTTGTAGTTATAAAAGATAACGCGGAATAAATGAGTTTTGTTATATTTATCAGGCATTTCTTACTTTTATTATAATTTTGAATAATTACTTATTGATGAAGAACTTTTCGGTATTTATTAAATGTAATAGAGGCGGTCATTTATAATGAGTATTTCGTGTTTGAAGTTGTAAGGTCGAGCACGTTTGTATCAAAATATGTGAACATTTTGATAAACCGCGAGTGGTGATAGATATTTTTTAATTAATAGGGAAAACTTATTTCTATTTAACATGGAGTATTCACAACCGCCTCCGAATTTGGCTATGCCGCCACCAAACCTGGCGGTGCCACCTATGGTTGGTTTGCAAGGTAAGTTTAATTTTAATTATAACATCTATTAATTCTAGGGTGCTAGGAAAAAAGAGTATGAGTCAAATATATTATAGTTATTTCCATATTATTCATAAGAGTAATATATTTTGAAATATTTTTTTATTTTCAAAAATACATATCGACTTGAAATATACAGGGTGTCCCGAAATTAGACGGTCATATTTTAACAGCGTAATCTACATCCTAAAATAGGAATAAAGGTTCATATAAACATAGGTCCGAAAACGTTTCGTTTTCGAGATACAGGGTGTTACAAGTGAGGTCCTGATGGCACATTTTTGTAAATATTTTCTAAAATTTATTTAGTCACCGGTTTTCCAAAGTAAAAAAAAATAAAATTTCTGATTTCACAGGCCTACTAATTATTGTTTACATTTTCGAATAAGATAACATCAACGTTTTCAAATGCTTTTCTTTTGAAAATGGTGCGTCCTAGCGAGATGCAACAAAAGTAGCTTTATTATAAAATCTTTAATCGTTTAGAAAATATTTACTAAAGAGTGTCATGAGGACTTCACTTTTAACACCCTGTATCTCTGAAAAGAAACGTTTTCAGACTTATGTTTATAAAAACTTTTACTCCTATTTTAGGATGTAGATTAAGCTGGTAAAATATGAAATAATAACCAACTGTGTTGAAAAACATGACTTATTCTATTTTGGCCAAGAAAAATACTGACTTGTACTAAAAAACAAAAATAATAATAATTTAAAAACTAAGTATTTAAATAAAAATATTACATACCTATTAAGCCATATTAAGGAAGTTAGTACAAAAAAAAAAAAATAATAAAAAATGTAGCTAGTCATTATCTTCCTCTGAATCAGGATATGTATCAGGAATATGAATTATTTTCAGGTTTCTGTAAAAATTGTTGAATGTAGCTAAAATTAGTGGTAAAAGGAACATAAGATCTTATTTTCTTTTGAAATTTGTATGGCAGATGTGTAACAAGCTTTGGGACATACATTAGTGATTGATTGGCCCCCCGAATATATGAATAAGATTTAAAAGGCCTCTCATCATAGAAAGAATTCTTGAAATAAATGATTCCAGGGTTGCAGGTGTTTCACAACAATTTAATGAATCCTGTTAAAAGTATTTCCATTGTTATCTTTTTTCGAAGTTGTAAATTTATTTATAATAGGTCTGCAAAATTAGGAAAATCTGGATAATTTAATTCTGTAACTTCAAATTTTGTCTTCTCAACTGAACAAACTAGTTGATGCCAATCATGTGGATGTGATATTGGTAGTTGAAGCTTTTTCTTTTGTTTTTCAATAAGTCAATGGTTTACATCCCATTCTAAATGAGTGTGTCCACTTATGAGAAAAGTATGATCCACTGTTTTCAAATTCGTACTTTTGCAATACTACAATAAACATGGCAGCTACATGTGAATTTTTATTTGTCCTCCACATGTATCTGAGTATAATATTTCATGCAATACTTGTGACAGAAGGGATGTAAGTTCTTTAAAAAGGCATGTGGTGATTTGGTTCCCTCCTCGGCCACCTTCAGCCTCATGCCACATGTAACATCTTACCTGTCCTCCATTACTCTCATGAATAGTAAGATTGAATATCCATAGTTTCCTTTTTTAAAAGGCACCTGAAGTGTTAAGCATAGGAGTCTGTAGACATTGCTGAAGATCAAATATGTAACAACACTTATTTTCATCATCGACAGCAAGGTTTTTATCTCTTCTTTTTTCTTCTTGTGCCTTATCAGCTTCTGCATGGTGTGAAGCTAATTCTAACTCACTCTTTTTATTTTCATCTACTTCAGATATTCTAATTTTCATTCTGACTACTACCATGTATCTTGTTGTAATTGACAAGTGGTAATTTGGCAGTTTTTGGCATTTTGCTGGTCTTCTTTAAAGGAAATATCAGATTCTCATTGGAAAATTAGTAAACTACATAGATTACAAGACACACTGTATAAATAATAATAATAATAATAATAATAATAATAATAGTAGTTTATTTGTCTTTTAGGATCATGTTACATGATATAGGATAAGTCATAATATATATGAATAAAAAATATTAAAATATAAATAAATATAGGTACAGTATACAAAAAAAATATAGGTATATATCTAAGACATGCACATTAAAAATATACAATTAGAAAAACACTTACCTTAAAATATGGTGGTATTCAGATAAATTATAAAAACATGAATCTACTAAATAGTTTTTAAGTTTTCTTTTAAATATTCATATTTCCTTTCAGATTTAATGAAATCAGGGAGTTGATTAAAAAATTTAATTCCAACAAATTCAGGCGATTTTATTTAAAACATGTCAAACTTGTAATTTTGTGACACTAAAGTGATATGTCACCTATTTTATTTTTGCTTAATTTAAAGATATTAAACTTATTAAAGCAACCATATTATTTAATTGTTTGTAATAAAATAATACCTGTACTTTCGTTTTTTAAATTACCTTTAAATATCAATATTGCATTACAGTATGTTGTTATTCTGACCTTTAGTAAACTCAGAGTAAGCTGTTCTTTTGTAATGTATATCATTATTGTAATGTATTACAATATCAGAGTATCCCTATTAGCAATGCTAAAGCCTATTCCATTATTTTAAATGCATCAGTAAGGGAATTGGCAGATGGCTACTTATTACTAAAATTGTAATTAAATTATTACTTAATACAGTAGATCATTGATAATCCAGATGTCAAAAATCCGGACTGTCGAATACCCAGATTTAATTCCATTAAAAAAGGCTGAAGTGAATACATAAGTACATATTTGTAAAAGAAACATTGATGCGACAGGCTGGGTATGGTCATCTTAACCTCTACAAAATGTATAAACTACATATTTTTACATTACATATGTATGTATATTCTTTCATTAAAATAGATTATTAGGTTCATATTATTTAATGGTTTTATTTATCTGCTCAATTATTTAAAAGTGAATTATTACGTTTTCTTTTTGTTATGAACTCAAATGACCTTTTCTTGGTTCTTTTCAAAAATTTTGTTGTTTTGATAATCCGGACAATGTCAGGTCACAATAATTATTCCAGATTATTGAGCTCTACTGTAATTGAGAAAAATAAGCAGAACTGGTTTTAAATGGACATAACAAATCGCATCCACAACAACAAGCAAGGCTATTCAATGGCCTCGGTACCTATAATTATCTTGATATTTATTTACAGAATACATCTTAATACAATTGGGTAATTTTTAAGTCTATTTCCGCACCAAAGCTGATTTCAAATTGTAATTAGTATTATTTAATTCAAAGAACAAATTGAATATGACCCAAATTTATTGTTTCCATAGAGTCGACCAAGTTTAGGTAGTTTTCAAAATATTGTTTCCAATTCTAGTACAATATTAATCTATTTTAATGTGTACATATATTTCAATGGTAACCTATATAGTTGATAGGATAAAAAGGTTTTCAAATGAGTCATCACTCCAACATATTTAAAAAAAATATATGTTAAATATATGAAATGGTTTAACGTTTAACACATATTGCAGTTTATTTTAATATCTTTACAGGTTTCAATAATAATAGACCTCCTTTCCGACCATTCATGAATATGCACAAACCATTACCAGGTCCATTAGGCAATATGACATTAGAAGACTTTGATGGCAAGAGGTTAAGGAAAAGTGTTATGAGGAAAACTGTAGATTATAATTCAGCTATAATAAAGGAATTAGAGGTAAACATACTTGATGAATAGCACAATCTAACCTTTTACTAATTAATAATTGAAAATAAAGTTAAAATTCTTTTCTCTCTATTTGACGTTGTAGAATCGAGTTTGGCAAAGAGACTACAGAGATAGAAGGGCAATGCAACCAGATCCAATGTACTATCCAGATTTAATGCCACCACCAAGTTACCCTGATAATCCTATTAACTGTGTTACTACTAGGTTCGTAAAGACTGCCACAAATAAAATGAGATGCCCCATATTTTGTATGGCTTGGACTCCAGAAGGTAGAAGATTAGTGACAGGAGCCAGTTCTGGTGAATTTACCCTATGGAATGGTTTAACATTTAATTTTGAAACTATTTTGCAGGTAAATATTTCCAAATATGTGTAATTTGTTGAATAATAATAATAATTCTAAACCGAAATTGTTGTAGAGTCTTATTTTTTATTGCCATTTTTTTGAGGGTACTACTTTTTAATGATGTATAGTAAGAAATGGCGCCTAAACGAGGGGAATTTTTTTATTTTGGTATCTATGTTTTTAATGTTGCATGCTAAGAATTGGTGCCCAAAGTGGTGTAATTTTTTTTAGAGAGCTATTTTTTTGAGTGTGTTCTAAACCTACAGAGATAATCTTGATTGAACAGGTTGTATACTTTGTTAATCTGTACATATTCCATTTTTTTTATAGTTTTATAGAATTTTACTAAGTAAATTGGAAATCGATACATCTAGAATTTATAAGAGTAAGAAATGATTTATAGTATGAAAAACCTTTGAGAAATCTGTATAATCAATTAACAGACTTGTTCATTCTGAAAAAAACCTGAGTTTACACATTTGAAATGTTAGTATGAGATAAGGCTGTGATTGAAACAGAATTGAAATCATACAATGTTTTTAGGACAATAAAAAGTGATAAATGATTGATTGAATGTTGAAAATATGGAGCCACAGGCAGGTATTCTGAAGCAGACCTTAAAGATTTGAGTAGAAGTAGAATTTATTTCCTATGGTAAAATTTAGCTAAAATAGATTTGTACATTTAAAATAGAATTATATCTAAAAAGATGTTTGAAACTCTTATGCAAACATATTAAAAACAAAAACACTTAAGTCTGAATCTAAGATCTGACCCTGTAAAATCTCATTGATAGAATAAAAGCTCTTATTTATTAAGAATTATTTTAACCTTAAATTGATTTTTTATTATTATGTAAAGTTTATTGAAAATATAAATTGAGATTGTGTTTTTAAAAGAACACGGAAATGAGTGAAGCCAAATGTAGACTACCCTTGGTTAATTGTATGTTTTCTTACAGGCACACGACAGTCCTGTGAGGACCATGGTGTGGAGCCACAACGACAGTTGGATGATCACTGGCGACCATTCGGGCTACGTCAAGTACTGGCAGTCGAACATGAACAACGTGAAAATGTTCCAAGCACACAAAGAAGCGCTTCGTGGCATAAGGTATCTACAACTTCTCTTCGTATTTCTAAAATTTGTACACACTTTTTATATTTTGCTTATCAATAAACGAATCCCTCCTTCTCCTTACATTAGTGCAAATTTATCAAATAAAATAAAGGAACAAACAACGCAAATTTGAGATGATTTTAGCGAAAAAGTTATATTATTCTGTGATAAGATTTTCCATTTTTCTGTGATAGTCGTGATGTAATTTTTTTTACGTTGAATAAATTCGTTTTGAAAGTAAATATTTGTCGAGTCGGTTCCAGGGATTTATCCAAACCGGGCCGATGACGGCGCCGGCGCGGTTTAGGCAGATTTTTGGAACCGCGTTTTATTATTTATCAACCTTTTCATTCGGTCGTATCGGGACAAAAATAAATAAAAAGTATATTCAAAAAAGTCTTGTTTTATTTCATCTACTATGAAGATAAGGAAAATGGTATCAAATCGTTTTTTTTTTTAAGTAGATATGGATTATTCTGTTTCTGGAAATTTGAAAAGGAATAGGCGAGTCGGGATCCTCAAGTTTCTCTTGCACTAATGGTTTTTTTTTATAAAGTAACATGATTGTATTGTAACATAACTAGCTGTATTTCAGAATCATTACAGTGAAAAAATCATAAACCTTAAACATTTCTTCTTCCTTGAAATTGATTATACATCCTTTATTGGCTTTAATTCAAAGTTTTTATAAAAATCGTTTGTGTTGGTCTGTAAATAATTCCCTCACAACATCTATAACTCTAAAGAATTCATGCCTTAAATATTTTGTTAGTTGTTGATATAATTAATAATCTGAAGGGGTTGAGTCTGGCAAATGCGCTAGTTCGCTGTGATGTCATTTTGGTTCCACTGACATTTAATTCTAACCAAACTTTTAACAAAAACAATAAATTTGACATATACGTTTTTACTGTTTTTAGTTTATTTATAAATATTGTTTACTGGTCATAAAAAATAGTTTAAAGGTATGTAATTGGTAACTAAACGATTGTATATTTGATGCATGTTATCTACTTACTTTAGGAATATATTTATAAAAGTGAAAAACGATATAATTTAGGTAAACAAAACGCACTCAAAAAATCTACTGTCACTTTAATTGTCAGTGGAACCATAATTACATCATCACTGAACTAGCGTATAAGGACACAGGACAAAATCGTCGATTTGGACTTTTTTTTGATGATCCCAATGTTAGTAAAGAAGCTTAGCCACTATTACCCTACTGCTAAGATAAGTGAGACTTTTTAGATAGTATGGCATGCTTGCTTCTAAGAATAGTTTTTCTTCTCTTATCAGTGGGGTAGTAGTGAAATAGCGATTTAGATCAAAATTTCACATTTCGTAATTTTTTCCTGTCTAAAATGGTCCCAACATTTCAATACGCTATTTTAGTGATGATGTTATTATGGTTCCACTGACAATTAATGAGACAGTACATTTTTTGAGTGCATTTTGTTCGTTTTGTTTACCTAAATTATGTCGTTTTTTCACTTTTATAAATACATTCCTATAGTAAGTAGATAACATGCATCAAATATACAATCGTTTAGTTACCAATTGCAACCTTTAAATTATTTTTTATGGCCTGTAAACAATAGGTTTGTTCCAACAGCTCCTTTCTGATGTGTCTCTGACTCGTGTATGGATGCATTCATAAACTAATCACTGCGCATGTCAGTCCGTTTATTTGTATGTTGTTTAATCAGCGACTTGTCCTTGTTGGAATGCAATGGAATTGGTCAAACCAAACACATGTTTAGTAAATTTTTAAAGATTACGATGTTTATTTTTATCAAAAATAAGTTCTAATTTTATATAATAAACCGTACACAAGATAAAAACAAAAATATTTATTTCAGTTGAAAGAAATAGAAACCCAAGCCACTCCAAGCTAACTTAAAATCCGAATAATTACAAACAAATAGCACGAACGAGAAAATAAATGCACATGTGCTGATAAATTGTACAAGCGATGACAATTCACCGACTCATTCATGTACGAATCCAAAAATACGTTGCAACTTTTTACTGACAGTTATCCGATTATCCGCGGACTATTTTCAATGCGCAAGCGTCTTACGTCCTTCTGATGATTAGATTAACTGTTGGAACAAACCTAATATTTAGAAAAATAACTAAAAATAGTAAAACGTATATGGGCGATTCTTGCATAACTGTGATTTTTTATGTCCAGTATTTTATTTATCGTTTAGCATAAGTTTTCCTCATCAAAAAGTTATTAATATTGTAAATTTAGAGGTATTTTACAACTAACATTATGAATTAGATCATAAACCTTCGCAATTTTTTTTTAAGCTGCACGTAAATATACTTGAAATGTCAGTACCGTGGCATGTCCGATTCTTATTTTTAAAATTAAATATATAAATTTCTATCAAAATTAATTTTTTAATATAAAATGTACCTCTTATAACTACAATCTAATGCATACTGCATTGAATTTTATTGCAATTTTATACCAATTTTTCGATCAGTAAAAAAAATAATCATTTATATGTCAGTACCGTGGAAATAATGTCAATACCGTGGCATTAAACTTTTGAAATTTTGTCACAGTTTTCGTTGTGTTGTAGCTGTAGTAAAATCAGTTCACAGGCTTAGTTTTGTGAATAAATAGAAAATAAAAACGTACAGAACAAACGTTTTAAAACATTTTTAATGTTAGAAAAATTTAAATTGTAAAAATCGCAGTTACACGAGAATCACCCATATGTCAAATTTAGTGATGTTTTTATTAAAAGTTTGGTTAGAATTAAATGTCAGTGGAACCAAAATGACATCACACTAAACTGGCGTATTATAGCTAATAACAAAACTTCAAATCGATAGCCTACATTTTTGAAACACTACATTGAAACTACTAGTTATTGTGGGGTTTGAATCACACTGGAGTATGTGGATTATTTTCGGGTTTCAATAACGCATTTTTCAGTTTCATATAAAATATGTTTCGATTTAGAAAATTATTTGGACTCTCGATGGCTAATCATTCAGTCTAAAAATTGAATTGTATTGAAGGCCTTAATTTACATTCCATATTCAAATTAAATGTTTTGAATGGCACTACATCTTTTATGCAACTAAAATGACATAATATTGACAATGTTACTTGTATGAAGAAAAAAGTGGTCTTGCAGACTAGAGTAATTTTGTAAATAGATACAAAACTGAGAGACTCCTTGTGTGTATTCTCCATGCAATTATAGTAAAGCGAACATGATGAATTACAGATTATGTGTGACTTATTAGATTCTATTTTTTCTCTGGCTTAACAGACATGATGGAGAATCGAAAAAACTCTTGTTGCTTAATAATTATAAAAAAAAATTAATTTTAAAAATGACTAATATAATCTTGAATGGACGATTAAAAATAAATGCCAATAACTTTTGTTTTGAAAATAATTATTGCATATTGCTTTATTTAATCACTTCACAATTGTTTAGGAATGATTCCCAAATTTTAAATTTATAGTGATCTACAGTGGGTTTTATGAATTTAAAACTAAATTATATTTCCTTGATAAAAATACTGAAAGGAGATCCAGGAGCAAAAATACTTCTGGTAATAGCTGGTTTCTCTTAACCTTTGCTAATCACAAACACTTCAGTACATGTCCTGTTCCAAATGAATATTGGACAAACAAAAAGCAGGTGTTTTAACTTGGAATGGATATTGAAGTGTTGGCAAAGATCTTTGATAATGCCATCAATATTTATTTTACTATACTATCAAAATTTCATTTAAATTTTAATCACTTAAAAAGTAAACTAAGTAGGAAATTGGTAAGGTTATAATGGCTTAATATGTAAAAAAATAAAGAATTTTCACTAAATTATGCTTGTAGTTTCTATTCCAAACCCTAATTTTTATTTTTATTAGTTTTCCCTTGGATGTGTATTATATTATAAACCCACAGAAAATACTTAAAACTTTCCGAAATCCAGCTTGTTATGTATACAGTACATGATTACAAACTATAAAAATTTAAAAAATATGTTTTATATCATTTTTGTAGAATATTAATATTTAAATGAAAAAGCAATGATTTAATAATAATAAAACCTTCCGATTTATATTGAAAACACATGAGTATTACGAGAATGTTGTTGTATTTAGCTTCAGCCCTTCGGACAACAAATTCGTAACGTGTTCGGATGATGGTACACTGCGTATTTGGGACTTTTTCCGGTATCAAGAAGAGAGGATCCTCAGAGGTAAGTGATATAGTAGTGTTGATTTCTTTTTTATAATTTTTTTTTTGTGAAGAATTTCAAATTATTTCTAGATATACACATGTTACAGGGTTTCATTGTGAAATGTACATACATTAACTGCAGATAAAAGCAGAATATTCCAAAAATCCTAGATTTAATAGGATAACCCTTTTCCTAACTAATATACAGAGTGTGATCAATTTTTTGACTTGTAAGGGTGACCAACATGAGAAATCAGCTGATCATTCAGAGCAGTCAAGTAATTTTCTCTGACTGGTAATCAAAACTGTCTAGTGAATAGTCAATTAAGTCATTTACTTGCAAAACCGGCTACATCCAAAAATGTTCAAAACTAAGTAGTATACTATGAAATACGCTTTATTACATGGTATATTCTGATTATATTATAAGCGACTCCTACTGACTACATTCAATGTAAAGTCTGTTTAATAAGCGGCCCCATCCAAATTATGTCTTTTTATTCCCGAAATGTTTTTCTCTATTATTCCAGATGTTCAAGTTTTTGTAACTTTAATGAAATATATGTAGGTGTTAGAACCACATTTTCTGTATTTTATTTATAAAACTTGAAAAAACGACAAAAAAAATCAATTTTTATATTTGTAATGTGTCTTGATCCAAACTTCAAATCTCTATACCATCTTGATTATTGGAACAGAATTTTTTTAAATTGTCCCTAAAATTGTGTCTAATACAATGTAACATATCTAGATATTCATTCAAAGTTAGGAATATAGATAGTAATATCTCAATATTTGCTAAAATGGATGTAGCCAGTTTTGCAAGTAGACGACTCAATTGTCAGTTGTTATTACACTTGCACACACAAAAGAATCTTCCACTATTTGATGTCGGTGAGTTGACTATTTTAAGCAACCTCACTTTAAACCTTAGCGATGGCACATATTTATATTATTTTTTAATTTAAAATATTAAAAACAAACTTACTACAGCAATATGGAAATAGCTTCACAGTTTTTTTAAATATATTATAAAGTCCGTAGTACAAATACAGGTGGCTGGTCTGCCAAACATGAATTTGAACTAGTCAGTGACTGGGCTGACCAAACTAGTCAAATTGGCCCTTGTCTTAATGTGGTCTTACTTACGAATCATCCTGAACTTTTTTTGTTTTTTTCATATTTGGCAGAATTATTTTCTTTAAAGTATCTAGTCGATCAGTGTCTTAAAAAGAAAACATTGACAAATTCTTCCAGGCTCATATCAACATGTATTTATAACTGATTTTGATTTTTTTTGCATATTTGGAAAGGGCAAAAACAATTCAATTAAGTAAACTATAATGAAAATATATTGCTTAACATTCTAAATTATACTCTTCACAGTTCCACTTTACCCCAATTGTTAATAATTTTTTTTAGAAGTAGGCTTCATCCCCTTATAGAGCTTGCTTTTTCCTGAAGAATTCATCGTTTTTTGAATGAGGATTTTTTAAATATTTCAACCCCTTAATACCATATTTATTCATTTTTTTTTTTTCAGGATTAATTTGCTTCATCCCCTTATAGAGAGATTTTTAATAAAAATGTCATGTTGATATCACGTTTCAATTTCTGATTTTTTTTTATTTCAACTCTTCTTAACCCCTATTTTTATTCAGATTTGTTTCAGAATCAATAGGCTTCGTCCCCTAATAGAGCTTGAATTTTGAAAAAAAAAATCAAGTTATCATTTTTCGTCTTTGAGTTAGGATTATTTCAAGCCCCTATTTTTTCAAAAAAAAAAAAAAAAAAAAAACATTGGATGAACCATTAAACACTCAAACTTAATTGCCTTTCGGTAAAACCGGAAGTTGGCCAATTTGTTTAACTATAAATGACAATTCTTCTTAATTAGTTCTAGTAAATTTTTCCCAAATTTGATCCAAATTGCTTTATAAACAAAAGAGGTTTCGTGGTCCTGGTCTCATTGTCGCCCGATATGCTCTGATGGCCTAATTGTTAAGGCAGTGAGGAGTAATTGGAGGATCCAGGTTCTATCCTTGTCTGGGCACATTTTTTCAATTGTCCCTTTATCAGTTAAAAGTGTACCAATTGTTTGATATACATGACCTTTACAAAACATTAAATCCATAATACATGTTATTCTAAGTAGCAACTGTAATTACACATGTTTTAATCGATTATAGGAAAACGGAGACATTCTAAAAATTCTAAATCATATAATTATAATAATTAAAACGTTTTAAAATTAATGAAAATCCATCGGATTGCATTTTGGGTCAGTAACATTCTGGAAAACTGAAACTTTGAATTTAAAATTTTATTAGTAAAATTATCTGCGTGAAAACGAAAAATAGGTCATTGAATCCAGTTTTTATCCTCTTTCCAAATATGTAAAACATTTTTTTCAAAATCCGTTATGGGTGTTATGATGCTGGAAGAATTTGTTAATGTTTTCCTAATTACAGACCCGGAGTTTTCATTGTTAAGACCGATTGGATACCTTAAATAAATTACTTTTGCCAAATATGATGAAAATCTTCTGGGTGGTTCGAAAATTACGATTCAAGAAAGAAAGTCAAAATTGATTAAACACAACCTCAGTTAGAAAGGGAGTTAGACCTATGCAATAAATGTCTTTGGAATTGCCTAACTGTCCTCAGTCTGTGATTAACATATGTACACTTTCCAATGAAACACCCTGTATATTTATGCCGGTAAAAGTACCTTTAATATAACAAATTGTGAATTTATAAATATATATTTTTTTAATATAGAAAGTTGTGAATTTAATCGAGAGGTTTGTTCAAAATTTTCAAACCTTATTTCGTGAATAAACATTTTTGATATATTTGCGGCGTAACGGACAGTTTTTGAAATCACTATACTGAATAAGCAAAATGTCAATGGGAGTATTTAGCATTAACATTTTTTTTTTTTCATACAATAATTAGGTACGAAAATAAATAATAAAATTATAGTCCTTTTGAATCGAGAATGCCAAAATAAATAAAGTTATAACATTATTTTTTCGCCAAAATAAATAAAATTTATAGTGCTTTAAAAAGTTACTTTTGAATAAAGAATATGAAACACTTTATCCCCTTACTGCATGAATTATTTCTTAATTTAATTATATGTAATGTGTTATGTACATAGTAGTTTAAAAAAATACAACTTATTATTTAAGTCGAAAGCTGTCAATATTTTGACATGTGCCAAAAATGGCACAATTTGGGCTAAGGGAAAGAAAAAAGGTAGACTGATGTTAAAATCATATTTATTAAATATCGCTAAAAATACATGGCAAAACTTCTAAAGTGATAATAAACTCAAATACTATTAAAATTCAAAATGTAATTTTCTAAGGTTTCGGACCCCTTGTACAAAATGTCTTTCAGGAACCCTCAAGTGTTTTTCTTACCAGTCAATGTAACTCTTGTTTTTTGTTTTATTTGCTGTAACTATTGTAGACTGGGGAACATCGTCTTCACTAACATAATAATCAGTTTCTTCCATATTATCTACTTCGACCTCTTTATCATAATATTCCTCTTCTTTTACTATATCCTCGATATAATCATCATCGGACAATAAATATCGAATATTAACAGTTTTGAAAACAAAATCGTTTCTGATCTATCTAAAAAAATAAAGCATATATTAGCCAGATTTACCTTTACTTCAGATTGTACCGAATATGGCACAAGGTAACAAATTACATGTAGCGGACAGGCATATTAGTTAAATGGCATATTTTACAAAAATCATAATTATACACACCTAAAACCAGATATTTTTAGTTTGAATAAATTTTCTTTTTTAGAGATTTTGTTGCCACTAAAAAATGTAAACAATACGTTCTTATACGTGTTTGCCGGCGACTGAAGAAAAAATTACATAAATTAGAAAATAAGAGCGATAAGGCGATAATCTTTCTCGAACGTAGAGAAGCAAATGTGCCAAATATGGACTAGACTGAGTTAGTGGTTTAAAATCAGTAAATATATTAAAAAATAGTTTTATCACATGTTCCAAATTGGGCACAGTATGCATTAAGGGGTAATTTTTGTGCAATTTTGCTCGTTATTTTGAAGCGCCTATTTTCATTGGTCATTAAAAATTCGGTGGTACCATAACAGACAGTTTTACTAACAGCGATCGAATCTCAAATCTTTTTATATTGACATTGATGATTAGTTATCTCTTTCTAAAATATGATTAAAATTAGGTAAGTTATCTGCAAATCATGTTTGTTCTTTGACCATTTTTAAAAACAACAAAAATAAATCACAATTTAAAATAGACTCGCCACGATCACAAACTAGGTTAGAAAACAACGTTGCGCGTGTTAGAGAAAATATTCCGCGATTTTGAATAACATTTTGATTAAGACGGTCCATTAAAATATAAAAGTCAATTGCTCCATAAAAACGGAATTTAAAGACATATGGTTATATATACCTCGACAGGAATTGAATTATATCCAGAGAGAAAATGATTTCCAACACATTAGTAACTACTCTACTAAGGGCAAGTGGCGCGTCCTTCTGGTTTCTTATATTTTCACTTAACCAATATCAGGGTATATGTATTACCTACATACTATATCCCCATATATCTGGCACATTGGTCAACCTTACATTCTGAAGCATCATTAGTGGAAGGCAAAGGTTAAGCTCACCCCACTTATAACTAACTGGCAACTAGAGTTGCCAGAATCCAAAGGTATTTGTTTATATATTGTAATATTTTATTATAAATTTACAATTATCTTACGTATGTTATGTTGGGAATGAATGGAGTGTTAATACACTGCAACCTAAAACATCTATTGTCTTACATATATTTCTGTTTTTTATTATTATTAAATTCTTATACAGTTAACAATGTTATTTATGATGGGACCAAAACAATTAAAGATACGACACTGATGTTTACCCTACATATTATCTCGATACATACATCAACTTTACGTTCTGTGACAGCCTTAGTGAAAGGCAAAGATTAAGCTCATCCTAGTTGAAACTAACTAAGCAACTAGGGGTTTCCAGAAGCATTTGTATATTGTAATTTTCAACGGCAAATTTCGTAGTTTTTGTCATGGATAATCGGGGAATTTGCCACTAAGCAACTGTTAAATGATCGAAGAGACATTGAGCGGTATGGAATTAAATGCTACAAACTGCAACAAGCATAGTTTTGAGAAAATAACAAACAAACCGTCCGCAAACGCATCCTTTGTTTTGAAAATTAGTTTATACACTCTGTGACCCACTTAACACCTTTCAATTTCAAAAATAGGTACTTTTTTTATTATGTAGAGTATCAAAAAGTGTTCACTGTTCCAAAATTTCATCCATCTACATTAATTTTCAAAGCATAATACGATTTTTTTATGTCAAAAATGGGTAAAATTTATTAAGGATTTTCTTTTAGTTTTTATTACATAAACCTAAATGGAAAAATCCAAAATTTTATGAAAAATATTGATTACAGGCAACCAAGTTATAACATTAACTTTAGAAACGCAGTATTTGAGTAGGTAATTGTCTACGTAGATTTGGGACATTCGGAAAATTGACAACACTGTAATATAGTCATTTAAGTTTTACAGTGAAAATACGAAAACAATTTTTTTTATTATCAACTTTTTAAAATATGATACTAGTTTTTTAATATTTTTTGATGGAAGATCAGAGTTGAGGCAAAGCCGGCTCCATGGGAGGCTCCTATTATTTTGTGGCACGTCTTCGAGAATTTCTTATTTTTTTTTTATTTGACGTCTTGGTCACATTGAGTTGGAATTATTTTCCTTTTTGTTTATTATTATTAATTCAATATTTTAAACAATTTTATTGGCTTTCGACAGAAAATTTGAATTCTCTTTTTATTGGCTTTCGACAGAAAATTTGAATTCTCTTTTTATTGAGGCTGTTGCCAGTCTTCAAACTTCGTTTTAGATCTACGTAAAATATATACTAAAATGGTACATTTTCATAATTAATGTTATAACTTTGTTGTCAATATTTTTTATTGGAATTTTAGTTCAATAGATCGGGAAAATTCCTATACGATGGGTGCATGAAAAATGGAGATTGATTTTATAAAGTTTGATAATATGTTTCGCCTATTTTAATCTCATATACAGTCTCGTAGATAAATTTAAAAGGAGTTGGATATTTGCGCTTGTCCACTGCGAATTTTTCAGATTTATTGTGGAATATAAACTCCGATACTCGTTATCCCTATGTTTTTTTTTTTTGACATATAAAGAAAAGTTTCAACAAGAAAAAAATGCTAAGAGTTCGTACATAATTTTTTTACCTCCATTTTGTGCAACTCTAATTATTTACTTGGCTCTAAATATTATTAAATGAAGACTCAATAATGTTTACTAGTTTTGATGCCCTGATGAAATATTTTTTTTCTCAAATTTGATCTACCAACATCTTGTCAAATACACGAACTATTAAAAATGTGAAACGTCCTACTAGATTTTAATTTAAAAATATGTATTGAGTCGTTACAAATTATCTAAGTTGCAGACTTTTGTTTAGAAGCAAATTTCTGCAAAACCGTTCATTTTAGCTCCATAAAAGGTTACTACTATTATAACTAAAAAAGAACAGCGTATTCAAAAATAATAAAATATATTTTGTTCCAATAGCGTAAAAAATAGGGAGGAAAAGTTGCCACTAACCTTGATAGCGCGACATTTTTCAAAAATTAGTTTTTGTCAAAATATTGCTTTCTCAAAGATTATATTGATGATAAAAATTTTGAAAAAAAATAGGCGTTTTTATTTATGGCAAATTTTGAATTCTGATTTCAAACTTTTAACACCCTGTATCTCGGTAACTAAGTCCTTTAGGGGTTCATGTTCTTATATCAAAATTCATTAATTAACGAGTTCTCTGGGGTAGAGCGTTGTCAATCGAATATACTAACACCCTGTATATATTTTTAATTGTTGCATATCTGAATTGATATTCAATAGGAAAAATCTCCTTAACAAACAATTTATTGAAAATAATTATTGTTATATAGTTTTTGCACTAAAAATAATTTCCAGGGCACGGTGCTGATGTAAAATGCGTTCACTGGCATCCCCAAAAAGGTCTCATCATATCAGGAAGTAAAGATAACCAGCAACCCATTAAATTGTGGGATCCTAAAACCGGACAGTCTCTAGCCACTTTGTAAGTAATCGAATATACAATAACCTAGTTCATTTTATTCAACGAACGTTTTGCAGACACGCGCACAAATCGACTGTGATGGACTTAAAGTGGAACGAGAATGGCAACTGGTTGATAACTGCTTCCAGAGACCATCTATTGAAGTTATTCGACTTGAGAAATTTGAGTCAGGAAGTTCAGACGTTTAGAGGTCACAAGAAAGAGGCTTCTAGCGTAGCTTGGCATCCCATACACGAAGGGCTATTCTGTAGCGGAGGTTCAGACGGTGCTATCATGTTTTGGCACGTAGGGTAAGTCAAATGTCAACCAATGATGATTCCGTAATGGACCGTGATAGTGTGACGTAATTTTTCTAAGCACTAACAATGGCTAAGCATAAATGGCTCTGTCATAGTTGTCAAAATTTTAAATGTGGTTAGATTCGTACTTTGTTTACATTGAATTTATCTTAAATTGTCCATCTTTGTTAATTAATCAAAATTATCTTAGCAGCGCTCTTTCGGCTTCCGCTATCTTCAGTGCTAATTGATGATATATTAAGAATTTTTAAACAAATATCACAGTGAATCACTGAAGGAAGCATTTCCTGAAAAAAATCACCATTAATTGTAAAGAGTTACTTGTAACAAATTAGCACTGAAGATAGCGATAACGGAATGTGCTAAGTTTTTGTTTAATACAGTATGACAGATGATAGCGACATCTGACATCGTTGCCATGGTAACTTGTTTTGTAAAAAGCTCTTTTCACTTCAATTATTTAAACGTAAATTGAAGTTAGATATGGAGTGAAAAGAGCAAACCGCTTCTTGAGGCACTTAAATGTGTACAAATTTAAGTTTACTCTTATGGAACGTTGTGAATTATATTTTTAGAGCTGACAAAGAAGTGGGCGCCATAGAACAGGCGCACGACAGTATAGTTTGGACTTTGGCATGGCATCCCTTGGGGCATATATTATGCTCGGGATCCAACGATCATACGAGTAAATTTTGGACCAGAAATCGACCTGGAGATCAAATGCGAGACAAATATAATTTGAACACCCTGCCAGCCGGCATCGCAGGTCTAGAAGATTTAGATATGGGTGGTATGTATATTTTTAACATTTTTTTTTAATTATTGATTTATTTTTATTGTTAATTTTTGTAGATGAACCTGTGTCGATAATTCCTGGTATGGGTCCAGAGGATAAAGTCGACATTACGACAATTTTGACAGACGAAAATCAAGCCATTCCAGGATTAGACTTGGACAATGTAGTAAATGAAGAAAAATCGAAGCCAAAGAAAGTGCCCTTCAGTAAACCCATTCCTCGCAATTTCCAGGCTCAATGGAATGAAACCACTGGTAAAATAAAAACTTTAATATGTCATTACAAGGCCAAATTCTTTATATGCAACTAGGTGTTATTTAAATATGATATGTACATACATATTAAAAGTGACAAAAGTGTCTTAAAAAGTATGGTAACAATTTTATAATTAAATTCTAAAATGGGGGCAATTGCCCCTTTTCCCACCATTATTCTACGCTTAAATCAACCTATCTTTTTGCGCTGTTGTCGGTTCGTTACATTTATGAGAAATATTTGCTTTCCTAGCATTTTTCCAGCAGCCCCCCTCCGTCAATACCATATAAATTTTTAAAGAAAGACACCTAATTTAAACATTTGAATTACACAAACTACTATGCGCAGATACCGTATCAAAATTAACCAATTCCATTTAATATGTACATTTTGGTGTGTAACGTCAGCAACGGAACACATGTTTCATTGTGTTATATAAATATGCGTTTGAAGTAAATTCTACAGTGGTAAAATTTATTTTCCCGAATAATTCCGATGCTATACAAAGTCCCTAATGATTCATGAGTATGGTTGTATGAGATAGTAGTTCTTTAGTTTTGGCACTCTTCCTACACGGAAGAATAAGTTATTGGGTAGTTTCTAATACCGAAATTAAAATTGCAGACAGAGACCGTGACTCGAATATTAGGGGTCAATGACACCGGGTGACCTAGATTTTCTATATGATCTATGCCAACTCCAGTAGTATGCCTAATTTAACATGAATTTACAAAATTTATTTACTCCTTCAATTATTATTTTTTCAAAATAATATTTTTGTACATTCTAGGAAAATGTTAATATCTACATGTATTTCAATAACACCCAGTATATGTGAAACTTACAATTCATTATAACTGTATTTTACCTAATTTTAGATGATTCAGCTGGTGCTCTGAATGAAGTAATTTCCCAAATCGTAGAAAATACTCCAGGAGTGGTTCCTCTACAACAGCTCGCACCCAACGCCATAGTTATCTATGGAAAACTAATACCAGTAGAACGTGAGTGATCTCTTCAATTCTATTTTAACGACTACTGAATGTTTTATTAAATTTTAACGCTTTTCCTAAATGAATCATGCTCACTAGATGACCGGCAAGGTTTCCAGACTTGGTGTCATTAAATTTTTCTTTTTAGCGTTATTTTTTTACTAGTTAATTTATGGGCTTTTCAGCTGGATCTAAGTTGGAGCAAGCTATAGCCGATGGTCCGGAGGCCCTCCAGAAATATATAGCGTCCGGTGAGATAGAAGAGCTCCACGACGTGATGCCCATCAACGACGATGAAGACTATCTCAACGACGACTTTGACGATAAGGATATTACATCTAGGGAAAAAGATCTGAGGTCTCCGTTATTCAAGAAGGATAGCGACATGAGAAACATGGGCGACATAGATTTTAGAAGTAAAGATGTCGATTTGAGGCGAGACGATAGGCGTAGGGACTTTGATATGCGGAATCTACCTATGGATGAAGATTTTAGATACAACGAACGTCCAGATCGCGGAGATGTAGATGAAGATTTTAGAAACGAAAGATTCAGAGACGATGATGATTTCGATGGTAATTACTATGATGATGGTCCTCCAAATTCAGGTGAGAGACTGAAATCAAAGTCTGTGTATTATTGATTTTATTTATTTCTGTTATACACTTCTTCGGGGACTATCCTATAATTAAACCTTTCAGGGCAAACAAAATTATCGCTGTCATGTCTTATGTGATTTTTTGAATATACAATATTTTTTTAACTACTTTGCTCAGGATAGTGATTGCCACATGTGCCGTTAGGTAAAGTACAATGTTTTTACATGCATTTGGGCATATTTTATTTCGTTATCAGATTACTGCCAAAATTTGCAGTGGGCTCTTGGGCTATAATATGAACATGACATATATATTTGTAAGTGACAATTTTCCCACCCATACGATGGGCGCTAGGCGTCACTGGAGCGACCAGTTTAGAGTTTAATAATATCTAGTTCTGAACTCATCAAATCAGCACTTCCAGATACATTCTGTTTATTTCCAGGCAACTGGCAAAGAAACGGCAAATTCGGCGGCAGCGGCAGCAACTTCTCCAGACGAGGCATCCCCCCGCTAGTAGGCGGCAACAAACCGTTCAGTTCCAGCTTCAGGGAGAGGAACTTCGGTAATTTCGGTCCCAATTCGAGCGACGACCGAGACCGGAACTGGAACGACAATGACAGCGACGACAACAACTGGCCGCCAGGTGGCGATCGCGATAACTGGAACGATAACAATCAGCGTAAAGACGACTGGAATGACCAAAACGACGATTGGAACGATCAGAACGAGGAAAATTGGCAGGATGGGTTCAATAGTAGAGGACGCGGGAGTAGAAGGGACGCTGCTAGAAACAGACCGAATACGGGTAACCCTGGCAGGGGTAGAGGTGTGCCGAATAGAGGCAGAAGCGGCGATAGAGGTGGGCGAGGAAGTAAAGGTGGTCGCGGCATGAAAAAAGGTCCAAATAGAGGACAGAGAGGTGCTCCGAGAGGTGGAGGACGTTTTAATTGAAATGCTATCTGTTATACGCAAAGCAGAATCATCGGTGTATATATACAGTTTTTTATGTTCTAATTTGTGTATGAAGAGATTTGAATCGGTTGCTGTCTTAAACCAAGGACAACCAAGTTTTAAATTCTTTAATAAAAGGAGAGACACAATTGAAATATATGTGATACAAATGACATTTAGTGGATGTAATCGTTTACTTTTCAAGAGCAGCGGAACGTATTTGAAACAATTTTTTTTTCAGCAAATTCCAATTTGATCACCTTTTTTTCTGAAAAAAAAAAAAATCGATCTTATATTAAAATGGAAACATCTTTATAATTTCGTTAAATGTACTTTTTTTGTTTTTCTAAATGGAATAAAATTAATTTGAAATTGTCGTATTGTGCCATCTTCCATTTGGATCTCTCATGAAGTCCAAGACCTCGTGAATCTTAAAAAATATTATTTTAACATGTTCACTGCCCGCTCTTAAAGCCTGTGCATGTGTGATGCACACCATACTTCTTTTTAAAAATATAAATGTAAGTTTACTTAATTTTTTTTATGAAAATAGGTTTACTTTTATAGAATTTGGTGAACTGATAAAAAAACGCGGGAGACGCGTTGAGGGCACCCAGCTATATAAAATTGTCTGCATGCATACAATGCGGTAGAGACTGTCTTGCTTTTTTTTATAAAAATACCCTAAAAAAATGTTTAATAATGAAGTTAAGTACGGGGTAATCCTGTGTATTAAAACCGTAGTTGTACACCAAAAGTTAAATCGGCTGATTTCCGAATATGTTGTTTTTAAAAATATAATGTTTAGCTGGATTAAAGAAAAAGGTCTAACTTGTGTCGTTTTACTATTGAAAATTGATAAATTTATATTGTTTTCAATAAAAATAAATCGTGTAAAACAATCCCATTTTATTTAATCTCAAAGGTGCCGTTCAAAATTATTTAAACCTCGATTTCAAACAAATAAAAAATAGTAAGACGACCTAAGTTCAACTTTACCTACAATTTAGTTCATTCAGGATATTGAAATATCGCATATTTTCCGAAATCAGTCGATTTGAAATTTACAAGTCATTTTCTTTGGAAACCCATGACAAATCAATTAAAATTGTTATTTGGACTCAAAATGGCGTCTAAGTCAATCCTCTTTGTTCACGAAATTAAAAGATGGTGCTTGATCATAGTAATTATTACGTTATCTTCCACTGAAATGCTTCAGTGCGTTCTGCATATATTCTGATTTTCTTCTTTTCCATATCGATAAACCAGGACACAAATATACTGCATAATGCCAGTGAAAAACGCTATTAGTATTCGATATTAGATATATCCTACCAATATATAAATGCGAAAGCTTGGATGGATGTTTGTTGCTCAATCACGCAAGAACGGATCTGGATGAAATTTGACACGAAGATAGATTATAGTCTGGAATAGCTACTTTTTATCCCGAAAAATGTACAATTCCCGTGGGATCGATTTGTTTTTCACAGAGTAAGGGATCGGACATGAGTTTTTGCATAGTGGTAGTGAAACATGAAAATTTGAAATACTGCTACTGAGCATAAATAATGACATGTTTCAGGGTTTTTGGATTTCACATTTTAAGGGGGGGGTTGAAAGTTTGCATGAAAATATGGACTTTTAATAATTGATGTTTGAGAAATTCCAGCGAAGCGGGACAAGTTCAGCTATTGTATATATAAATATCAAATTATTATCTCTGACTAATACATACAGCTATATGTTTACGGGGGAAATGATAGTACTGCTGATTATAAAATATATTAACTCGCTGCCAATTTATTTTCAATTCTCGAATGGATTTTCAAATAGTTTGTATCCCTGTGTATAAAAAGCGCAAGAGTTAAATGATCAAATAATGTTAAATTAAAGATAAAAGTGTAATTTAGGTCGCCTTACTATTGAAAATTAATAAATTTATTATTTTCAAGTAAAATCAGGATATCTGGCTATAAACGTTCATTACTGTTTAAAAAAAGTTGAAAATAGTACAAAATAAATATTAGTAATATTAATTACAGTAGTTAGTGCACGATCGAAGGTTCTTACGTTTTAGGTCAGATTCGTTATAAAATAAGCGTTTAACGGGTATAGTTTTGGTATCGGCGGATATCGGTCCAAAGCTGCAGCCGAAACAGAAACTACTTGTTTCGGAAGGACACTACTGCAGTATTTTAATAAATAACATGTATATTTAAAATAAAAAACAACAGTTATATTTTTTCAATTTTCCAAAATAAAAAAAAGCTTTTATCGGGAATTGAAGCTTCGTCGCGACATTTAAGCTTGATGAAGTTAAACACACTATGAACTGAGCTATCATCCTTATGTCACATGAATTATCTTATCAAATGTAAATATTAAATCAGAAAAAAAATAATGTAATTACTTTAAAATTATTTTTAATAATTGAAAAATAAATATCTAGGTATAAAAAAGTTTTTCTACGACCACTTAGGTAAGTGACACAAAATATTGAAAATAAAAAACTGAACTAAAATAGTAGTTTGTGCAACAAGAGTGGATATTGCACGAAGACGAAGTTTGAGAACGATGCCGCGCTCATTCGTCTGAGTACGATATGAACAATTCACTCGAGTTGTACAGAAAAAAATATTTATTTACTCGAAAAATACATTTAAATAAGGTGTAGAGCATGTCATAGTACATAAATATATATTTTATTTATAAATACACATTAAACACATTTTTTACATAATATACATTTTTTTATAATTAATATTTTTGTCCTTAATAATCAATATTTTATATAATTACTGAATCACAGACGAATTCGTCTAACTTGTAATCATAGACATCATATTATGTTGTAATATGCTTTATCACATAGAAATGACTTCAATTTTAATTTTAGTGATATGATTTCTAAAGTATTTAGTGCAGAAGGCATCTTTTGCCAAATCTTTTGAATAGAATATTCTACATTTTTTGGATATAGGTATATCTTGGGATGTCCGTTTTTAAGTTGCGTATTGATCTGGTAATATAGATATATTCAATTTTATTGATCTCAAACAAATCGTAATATCGTTTGATAAATATAATCGATTCCAAGATATATAAGCACACTTTTAAATAATATCTCGTATTTTCAGATGGAATATATTTCTAAGGCACCTCTTTTGTAAAATAAATATACGTTGTGCATCTGCTGAATTACCATAGAAAATTATTTTATAACTAATTCTAGACTGCACATAGGCATAGTGTGCCGTTAGAGCAGTAGTTTGATTTATATTAGCTAAAAGTATTCTTAGAGTGTAGTTAAATTATACTTGTTGAATGTGTTCTTTCCAGTCCAATCTCCGATCAAGCGTCACTCCCAGGAATAGGTTTCTAAAATTATATTTTTGTCCTTGTATGTAAATGCGAGACTTTCATCCGTGAACTTGAGTTTTATTGACATTTAACTGGAGATTATTGTTTTTAAACCAATGTTCTAATGTATTTAATGTATAATTTAGTTTTCCCTTGCATAAATCAAGGGTTGATTCACTAAAAATCAATTAGGGCACATTGTACTACAATTTCATTATACAACTTCTGGCAGTGGTGCCCCTATGATTCCCATTAACAGCAGTTTCCTACATAGAATGTTGTGATCAACACTATCAAAGGCTTTAGACAGGTCCAGACACAGCGCCGACGTCTTTTGATTTTTATTTAAAGAGCTTAATATATGCCATGCACTGTACCTTTTCCCTTTATGAAGCCACTAAGACAATTTGATAAAACTTCATTACTTTCTAAGGAGGTCTCAATTCTGCTAAATATCATCGTTTCAAATATAAAATTAGAAAATAAGGAGGTTGGCCTGTAATTTTTAACATCAATTTTTCATTTTTTATAGGTTGTCCGCACATAAGCTAGTTTTAAGTTTTCTGGTTAGACACCAATACAGAAACAAAGATTAATAATAAGATTTAAAGGATATACTCAATTTGGCAAGCTGCTTCTTTTAAGAGGACCACTGGTACTTCATAGAAACCTGCATTTTTATTCTTTAGTTTTATTGTTATTTCCCTAGGTGATGTCAAACTAAAGTACAAGTTTCATTGGTTGTCATTATATTGTCATAGTTTATTACTTCATCTTGTGCAATGTCAGGACAGGCAGTAATGAAAAATTGATTTGTCAGGTTCAGGATATTCAACATATCTGTCGATGCCAAAGCTGCATCTTTCCTACTTTTATTTTCTAGAAAGGAGTTTTGTCTTGAATTATTTTTTATTTCTTTTACAAGTGACCAAGTGGGTTTGCTTTTATCATCAGATTTTCGGATGAACTCTTCCCGAGACATTTTTTGCTACCCTCACAACAGTTTTTAGGACAGTACTATATTATTCATGTTTATTTGAGATAGTTCCATTTAGCATTTCCCTATATAAGAAACGTTTGTTTTGACAAGATGTTTTTATACCAGATGTAATCCATGTTCTTCTCCTTTTCTTTTCGAATTCTTTTACTGGAAAAATTAAGTTTGTTTTTATTTTAGAAAGGAATAAGTCATATGCAGTATTGACCTCGACAGTATCCAGATATCTTCTTGAGTTTCAAATTTTAGTTCTTCGACAAAATGTCGAGTTTTTTGTTTGAAAATATGCGGCTTTTTGATGGTTTTTCTATGTGCTCTCTAAGAGCGTTTACTGTATCTGTGATAAATGGTCGGATAAAGCTAGATCGACCACATGGACACTTTCATAATCCTGAAAATTAACGAATATATTATCTATTAGAATCCTGCTTGTTTTGGTTACTCTTCTAGCTTTAAAAACTAGTTGTTTAAAATTATTACTTTCAATTATATCTATAAAAGTGCCAGACTGATAATTTATTTCAAAGAAATTGATGTTGAAATCACCAATTAATATTATTTTAAGTTTTAAATTTATTACTAACATATTGTGTAAGATTTCCGTATACTTTTTCTACTTACGAAAATCTACAATTTTAAAAATTATTTTAGTTTATCGAGACAAAATAACTAATTTTAAAGTTTTTTCCTTTTACTAATTTATAAGATAAAAAAAAAAAACATGAAAAAAAATTTTAGTTCCCAGTTGAGATTCGAACTCGGATCTCTCGCGTGGAAAACAGATTCCGTCTCCTCTACCGCCAATTTAAAATTTTAGTTCTAATACTCGTAATTAAAGTAGCTTCATATAGTTTGATTAAAATTTTAAATTTCAAAATGTAGACGAAACAAGAATAGAAATGCTATTATTTATCGATTCTACACAAAAATATCCAATTTTAATGTATATTTAATCTCAATAACTGATAATTAGTTTGACAGAATTATCACTTATTTAAAATAGTAGTTGGTAAACCAAAATATGAACTGTGATGGGTAGATTTCATTTTTTTTGCAGTGTTCTCACTACCTAGAATGGATTTGAAACATATTCGTTCAGTTGAACGCAATAGCATACTTTTTCGTTCTGTAATCTGTGCGTAAATAAGCTAATATCCATGTGGGTGTAGAAAAAATGTTTGGTTACAAAATTTCCATCTAAAACTATAATCTTCTAAGTTTAACTAACATTTCACTAATAGGTACTTTTTACCAGTAATTTCAACCAATGCTATCATATAATTAATAGAAACAAATTTCAAAAACCGCCACCTATTTCAGTTTCCTAAAAGTCTTATCTGAGTGCCCAGCACAAATATATTGCAATAAAACGTGTTGTGAGCACATCGATTTGACTCAGTCAAACGCGAACCACGTTGTGGGCAGTGAAAGTGTTGAGAGCTAAATTGGGTAAATTATGAAGGACGCGAAAACAAATCTCAAATAAAACTAGGTAGTTATTTTTAAAGACTTTTTTGAAAATATATATATAATCTAATACAATTTTCCTTTTTTAAATAATTTGGGTAAATAATACATTTATTTATATACAGCGTGTCTACCTAAGTTGTCAGCATATGGAAATGAGTTATTCTTGATAAAAATCCCGAATCCCTTAAATTAATAATCAAGACTCCCCAAGTTGTAAAATAAAAAAATAACGATTTATGTTGAAGAATACTTTCAATATAGAGAGCAAAATAGGAATTTAAAATGTTGATAAATTAATATACTTGTAATTTAAATATTTGTACTTGTTTTTAAGTGATTTTGATATAGCTTGTTCAACAAATTAAACAACCATGCTAAAATATGTATTGGAAATTTTTGATTTGTATAAATTTGTTTCTGCTTTTTATAAAGAATAACTTTTCGTAATAACAAAGTTTTCGGTATGAAGTAGACACATTGTATAAAAGGGTGAGTCCACAAAAGAACTTTCGCCTCTCAATTTTAGGTTATTCAAAATATAAAATATATCGGCAGTCTTACAAATTAAAATCACACTGATTAAAATAATTTTCTACTATTAAACTGAATATTTTAAATGTTTTTTTGAAGACAGATTTAATACAAACTGTTTCAGGAATTGTATTTTTTTAACTTATTTCAGTCCGTCATGTACTTGTGAAATTTAATTATTTATTTATTATTAACTGGAACAAAATTTATAAAATACATAATTCTGTTATTATTGCCATAAACAGAGCATTCCATAGTGAGCAACGCAAACGAAAATGTTGGTTTTAAGCTTATACTGTAAAATTTTAGATAACATGCTTTGCAGATCCTGGTTTGTACATTTGTTTCAGCAATTTTACCCACCTCACCAAACTGGTGTTTTTATTTTAAGTAAATTACAACATCGATAACAACACAGAAACAAAGTAATCAATCTATATAATTCTATTATTTCATTGAACTAAAGTCGGGACAACGTATCTTTACCCATGACAAATAATCTTTATGATGCATCATTTTCTACTAAAGGTGAAAAACGAGACAATAACTAGTTACTATCTTTTAAGAAGTGATGAAATATAGTAATGACAATGACTGATTGTAAAATTACTAAATATAAAAATTCAAAAATATCACAATTTCAGAGAAATTGCTTCTTTTCTTTCGCAAGTGGTTACCAAGATCTCACACAAACGGTACTGAATATTATTTTATATTGTAATGAATAGTCAAGAAAAATTGGGTAGTACTTTAGCCACTTTACAGAATAACATTTATTACTTGACATGTTCATTGTATATTGCAACAATAAAAAGGCAGCCAACCAAATACTTTTTGGACCTGGCCCTTCTATTGGACTCACAACATCGGTAGTGACAAACTTTCCCTTGTGAAATTTAAGGGAAGATGGGATGAAACAAGAAGCTGCAGACTTGCCAAGGAGCTTTTAAGTTATCCTGACAACACTACAACGAACAAATACTTGACTATGACTAGACAGAATCTGTGCCTGATCACAGGAATTCTGACTGGGACATTGGGGCTGTCAGAATCCGCACTCTGCAGGGGGTGCAAACAAGAAGATGAGACCATCGAGCATATCCTCTACGATTTCCTGATGCTTTCATTTATTAGAAGATTTGTGTTCGGCGAGAATTGGCTAACACTGGCCGATAGAAGAGAAGCACCTCTTGGCGACGTTGTCAACTACATTAAATCTGTCTATCTACTTAGGAGGATGCACAATGGGCCTAGTGAGGCCTAAGTGTCGTGGGTTAACCCACCCTCCACACGTTATATGTGACATAAGGGGGTTTTTAATTTTTACTAGCTAAATATAGGTGGTAGCTACTTATTTATTTTTGTTGATGTAGGTAGCGCAAAGGGGGTTGATGGGTAGTAAGTTATGTATTTTGTCATTTAAGTTTCCCTTTCATATACTAGAACCAGCTTTAGACATCACCCTCCACACGTTATATGTGACATAAGGGGGTTTTTAATTTTTACTAGCTAAATATAGGTGGTCGCTACTTATTTATTTTTGTTGATGTAGGTAGCGCAAAGGGGGTTGATGGGTAGTAAGTTATGTATTTTGTCATTTAAGTTTCCCTTTCATATACTAGAACCAGCTTTAGACATTTGGTGATATCATCTTTAGTTTATAAGATATAGCCTTTATAGGTTTGTTAATTAAAATATTAGAATTTTATAAATCGCAAGAAGCTTCTCTTCAATGGCATGTGGTTAAATAAATTGCAAATGAAATTTATACCTAATGAAATTAGTAGGTATCCAAATTATTTGTATATTCAATAATAAATAGCGAGATAAAATATAGCAAACACCTGTAGGTACTACTTTCACGAAAGAATATTATATTAAACATTCTTAAGTCAACATACAGAGTAGGTACTGAGAGTCCAAAATAAATAAGAAAGGACGCCGACCACATCTACGGAACAATTAATTTTTTTAACAAAAATTGTTCTCAAAAATAGTTGGAAATTATTTTCAAGTTCCCAACTTCACAGCAAATGCTCATTATCAATGATAAAAAAGTTAAATTACGTTATGTTGAACATATCAAAATCATATTCTGCACGAAATTTTACTAATTTTGACTACTCACTCGTTTATCATTGGTCATATGCATTTCCTAATTTAGTAGTCTACTTAGAAATTTGAAAATAATGTCCATCTATTTATTTTGTATGTTGAGAATTTTTTCCCCAAAATTCTATGGTGCACAGTTTCTGAAATACAGGCCATATCCTACAGCCAACGACAACCGGCGTCCTGTCTTATTTGGAAAATAATAAATATCTGCTAAACTGATCATTAAGAATAAAAAAATCGATATTAAATATTTACTGAAAAATTAATTAAAATTAAAAATTTCTCATTAAGACTGATTCGTCTATGCATGTTTTCCATACAGCCAGTGGATGATGACGAGTTGACCGCCATGTTAGGGCATCATAATCGGTTCTCTCGCTCCAATTTAGAGATGGAATGATTTATGATTTGACCTCACAACAAATACACTTTCATCAATGACTAGTTGAGGATGTGGTCAAAACAGACAACCTGAAATTCTATGATGTTTGTGACATCGCTTAATATTGAATATGTATAAATATGTCTTTTATGCTCCATCTATATATCCTAGCTCTGTGGTTCAATATCATTTTTTACATTTAATTTTCTTACAAGTTTTGACAAATTTGACACAAAAGTTCAGTATCAATTTCCAGGTTAAAATGTCATTCTGTGGAAGTGGCTAGTCAAAACATTTAAATTTCTCAGCCAACTTCAATTATTTTTTCTCGATGGCTTGTTATAATAAGTTTTTTTAGGACGTATTGTACAATAATCAGTTAAAATCTAATCTTGGATTAAACTGGAAACCTCGTTATATGATCATTGGTTATTGTTAAACGTAGTTTTAAAATTGATATTTGGACTTTGAATATAACCAGTTAAAAATTAAACTCCTGATAGCTAAACTGAGCTAAAGCTCTCGGACTCTAAACAAATTATTAATACTATAAATTATGTCTCATCAAATTGATATTAAAATATTCTCGAGATTTAGATTCAACAAAAATAGCTGACTATTATCAAGATCTTGGTATATTACCCTTGAAAATTTTCCTATTTCCTACCGGCAAAAAAATTAATTTCCAAACTACACCAGTGACATTTCCCGCGAAAATTCGCAAATATGCAAACCTATATCGCACTGTTACTGTCTATCCCTAAAATCTAGTGCACAACTTAAGATCTCAACAGCTTTATTCAAACTTCAGTTTGGCCGAATTTGGTAGTCCCTTTAAACCACGTCGCTAGTAATTTCGAGACGAACACTGTTTTGACTGTCTTGACTCGATTCGAATGCGTATTAGGTAAAGATACGCCGCCCTCACTGCATTAATAACAAACAATTTTTCATTTTTTTACCTCTAAAAAGAGGTTAAAATAGATTTTGGGGTGACTAAATTCGATTCCAAGAAAGAAAATTTAAAATATTTAATTCTACAAATATTCCTTAATTAATATAAAACGAATCACAACGAGAAATAACCAAAATATGGAAAATTAATTTTATACAATAAAATTTGTTCATTTCTTGCAAAATATACAACATGAAAACCGCGCAAAGGGGATAATTCTTTTGCAGATTTTTCTTCTTCCTCCGCTTTTATATCTTACATATAAAATTGCTATAAAAACATCCATTGTCGAAAATATAAAAATTACATTATAATGAAACCTAAAGAGCTAAAATATATATATAATCTATTTCACAAAAAAAAACAATATTCAAAAGAGATCTTTTTAAGATTTCTCTCTCTTCTTAAAGTTACGTTTACTGGCACATCGGTTAATGATGTCCGTTACGTGGACTTTGTGATCAAAAATCTTCATAATGGAACTCTTTGCTTCTATCATTCCATCGTTGATTATTTTGATTCTTTGCAAGTTGCCCTAAAAATAACAGTCCAACATTTAATACAATACGTCTATGACCATTTTCAAGTTTTTTTTAGTAATTGCGTCATCACTATCATATGAAATAAACAGGCAGCTTTATTTTAACATTGTCAAAGCCATTTTTGAAAATTATTGACTTTGTATTTTTAAGCATTTGATGATTGCTACTGAAACCTAATAACGAAAACTATTTAATGATACATGGTCTAAAATCAGAAATAAGGTCGACCTTCACCCATCTGTTTAAGAGATGAAAGTTTTTTTTTTATTAAATAGGTTGCCTAAGAAAATACGGTACAGATTATTTATTTTCTTAAAGTTAAAAAAAAAAAAACGAAACCCTGTAAAGTATTACCCAGAGGCTTCGACTATACTCAAAATTTATTCAGCTCACCGCAAGATGGATTAAAGCTAAAGTTTAAAATGTGGTGTTTTTTTCTTTATTCGTTTTTGTGTTAACTTCAAAATTCGAAATTTTCAGTTTTCCTCAAACATTTCGAATACAGTCCACTTTAGGGAAATCATGTATAAGACCAAAATTATAGAGAATGATATCCCAAGCTACTTTTATCATGCTTCCTATATTTTCCTTATCTGTATACAGAGAGGAAAGTAAAAAATGGCCGTGACGTATTTTCTTAGGCAACCCATTTGCGGTATATTTATAAACATATTTTATTTAGTAAAAAAAACTTTCATCCATTAAACAGATGGGTAAATGTCGACCTTACTTCGGATCCTGTACTAACAATTTTCAATTTGTTAAGGCTTACCAAAAGTATACTATCTCATGGTTAATTATAAATTTACACAAATAATTTTTAAAACCTTCACATACTGACAATAAGTAAGTGTCGGCAAATCTTTCAGTGACTATGAGATAGGATAATAAAACAAAAGTCTGACAGTTTAATAACAAAAGTCAAAGCAAAAAAGTATAATCTGTACAAGAGAAGGCTGGTGATATTAAAGTGATTCGATAGTATTACAGACACACGCCTAAAAAGTTTAAAAGAGTAATATAAACTAAAGTAATGTATTAATGGTTACAGTATTTATCTTCAGTATACCTCAGTCCCGAAAGTTTAAAAACTGGCTTCATCTGTCAATGAATATACGGAGCTTCCTGGTCGAAAGGGGAATAATTGTCCAGTGGTGCTTAATATTTTCTTAAGATTTGATGAATTAATATTTTATTAATAAAACTTATTTTAACAATTTTTAAAAAGTTTTAAGATAATCATTGGTAGGATGTGTGACAATAAAAAAAAACAGAACACCCCTGTAAATGTTTAGAGAATGAACTAAATACAAACATTTTCCACACACATACTTGAAATATTTTTTTATATTAAAAATTAAATGTAGCATCCCAGTGTGTTTCTGTTAATGTAGTAAAGTTTCTGAGAGTCGAAAAAATTTAATATCCAGGGGTTATGGTTGATACAAATTTATATTTTAAGGAACATGCTAATAACGTCATCAAAACCATATCATTTAAAATCAACTATTTGAGGAGCTATTCTCTACATCTCAGCAAATGGGCTAAAATAATAATTTATAATACTCTTTCTTATATTACCTCATTTTAATTATGGTGCGACTATATTGTATTTGCTCAACCAGAATGAGTTGCAACGATTGCAAAAGATGCAGAATAGAGGTATGAGAATAATACGGAATTGTTTATGATTGGAACCAATCAATTTCATGTTAAATGTGTTTCAGCAGTTGTCTGTTTAAAAATATTTGGCTGTTCTATTCCCTGCTATTTATATTTAAGATTAAATCAGGAATCTCCCCAGTATATTTATAAAATATTTTTAAGTTATAATCAGGATATTCATAAACACAATACAATAAGCAAAATTTTAGTGTTTATAAGGCTACGAAAAAATGTACACAAAATTCAGTTTTTTTTTAAAGATGTTCAGGCTTTTAATAATCTACCTGAAGATATTAAATGCTCTTCAAAAGCAGCAATATTTAAAATAAAACTGGGAGATTACTTATTTTTTTGGCAAACTATTATCATTTTGTAATTCAGTTCTAATTTTTTAAAAGTTGGAATTTTGTTTCAAAAATAAAATGATTTATCTTTTAGCATCCATTGAATTTTTCGATTTTTGGTTAATTCATTTTCTAGTTAGTTCTATTTTAAAACTTAATTACTAAAATATGCATACATTTCCATGACATCCAAAACTTTAGGTTGGAAAATCACGCGAGAAAATCATCAGAGATGATTTTTTATCATTGTATGTTCACCTGAAGATAAATTAGACATCTTTACTTTTTTTGCAGTGTTAATACTACAACTTGGTATGCTCTCGTCCATTTTCAAATAAATTATAAAATATAAATAAAAGAAATAATGAAAAACCCGGGATTTATCTGTTTCAGTCAAAGCCAAAGCACAACTAGTGAGGCAGTACAATGGAATATACTGCCCTGTCTTGTACTTTTCAGATAGTTAATATAACTGAGTTTCCCTTTTTGTTTCATCGGGATCTGTCAGGAGCAGACAATAAACTCTGATGGATATGGCAATGTAAGATATACCTCTGACAATGTATCTCACATATTTGCATGGTTGCCAAAGATAAGATGGTTTCGGCAAATGCAGCGACTTACGTTATACTTTATCTCAAACGAAGTTTTATGTAAAAAAATAAAATAAATAAAAGTACATGATTTAATTGAATGGTAAAAATAGTCTATACCTTTATATTTTAGATTGACATTGCGCTGAACATATCCCTATCAGCAAACTACACATGGCAACATGATTTGAATGACGTCAGTTTGCAAACTTTCAGAACGGAATTTTCAGAAAAAATTAAATACAAGTTATTTAAAAAATACAAACCTTTATCAGTTCATTTACTCTATTGACTTCCTTATCGAATTGCTTGCCTGTTTCTTCAGACTCAGTACACTTCAACAGCTCAGTCAGTTGATTGTAAACACTATGTTCTTGATCAGCCTACAATGAAACAAAAATTAAAATATATAAACGTTAACAAAAAAAAAACACATACCAAATCCTCCATCTGCGTCGACAAATGATGGATCTTCCATCCGTTTACTTTCTCCTGTACCCTATATTGATTAGCCAAATCCATGATGGTCGGCCGTCTTTCGTCTTTGGGCCGCACGTCTGAATGCCTCAAATAGTGATTGTGAGTGGCCTTCCAGTTCTGTCGGTAGCTGTTGAGTAAACTAGCCGAGGCAGGTTTCCTGACCGTCGTCACTTGCCCGTCCGGAGCACCATCTTTCGGCTCGTCCGATTGATTCATATCGGAGTCCTCGTCTTTTTTCGCTGGATGATCAGAGATAAATTGCATGTCGTCTTTATTTTCGTCCAAATCGTTGCCGGTTCTGCAATGAATGTCCAATCAAATCGAAACACTATACAGACCGTTTTTGCAATACATGTACATATTAAAACTGGTTAACATTTAAAAATTGCTTCAATGTAGACTTTTTTTAAATACCTGTTAATAAACTTTTAATTTTAAAAATCGCTTTGAAAGTGGATGTACGCCACTGCCATATTGAGGTAGGTAAATTAGAAATGGTTTATTTAATAATTAGTTCATTTCAATATCAACAGCTACCTAGGTCTGTTATTGACGATTTTGCCAAAACGTTTTGATTTTAATCAAACAGTTATTGTAGTATCAACATTTTCATCTTTGATTTGTAAGATTAGTTTTTTATTTTCGTTCGAAAAAGGTATATATTTGAATAATAAAAGTGCGTCTTATTTTTTTCATGTTCGTTTAGTAGAGTGACAAGCTTGTTACAATTTGAGGCAAGTCTTATTTAATTTCATGTCTGCGTTTATGTGAAATTTTATCGGGTAAATTCCTACGCGGTTTTTGTTCTTTTTAGACAGGGAAGAAGCTTGGAATAATGAAATATTTAATTTTGAGAATTTCCCGGCAAAATTATTAATGTTCGGTTTTAATCTTTTATACTTTATAACCAAACAGACCAAAGGTTTTATTACATGGTTAATATATGTATGTTATCTGAGAATTGTAGAAATTTAAACTAGTTCACTAGTTCAAGTTATTTTACATAGAAAACTTTCTAAAGAAAGGAATGAATTAAAAAAAAAATCCTAATGCTAAGCTAATAGTGTAATAATTTTTATAACATAATTTAAATAACCTGAACCTGAATGGGCAAGGTTAATACATATCATAAACTTATCAACTAATTAGGGAAAAGGCATTAATTCATATGAAAAAGAAAATACGAAATAGTAGAAAAAGTTAGTTATTAAGAAGGCTTTTCTCCCATAATAAATTCTCCTATGATAAGGAAATATATAAATAATAAAAAATATCGAAAATATGCCAAAAAAAATCCTAAAATTGAGAAAGTCAGGTATCCAAACTTTAAAGTGGATATGGCAACAGTGTAAGGTTGTTTCTTAACGTGTATGCTTTTATTCAATCGTTGCAGCAACGCTGGGTTCCGATACGGCATCAATCGATCAATAATTATGAAATAACAGTTATCGTCTTTTCATTCAATGCTGATGCAATCAATGGAACATCAAATCAATTTGATCCTAAGACTTTTCCGATCAGATGTGATAACTTGACATATTAATGGAGGCGTTATTTATTTAGTATTTCAAGTATATTCATTAAAATTACATGTTTTTCATGCATTCATTCTTATATGTTTTCTTTACAATTTAAATTATTTTAAATTTAAAGTCTGAAAAACGGATAGAACTGTTATTTCTTTAGAGTAATAGGTACAAAGTACATGGAAGTAGTTTTAACTTCTTATGTTCGGTAACAGAACATCCTGTAATAAAATGTCTTGAAATGGTCTCCTGGCGAATGGGTTATAATAATAAAAATATTGACCATATAAATCTTTAAGTATTATTTAGAAATATCCAAAATATTTCTTTACAAAATATCTATTAATTTCTTAAATGAAAATTCATCATTCCTAATCAATCTCAGTGGTTGAAAGTAAGTAGATATTTATACCAAAAAATGGCTTCAAGAATCAGAAAAATAACTTCAAATCAAACCAAAACAGTATTGTCACAATCACATTATTTACAGCCAGTTACAACAAAATTTATTAAAATTGCATGATAAATTTTAAGGGAGCTTGAGAATGTGATCAGTCTGACATGAACTTCAAATTAATCAAAGTTATTTGATCATTAGTTTTGAGAGATTTAATCAGACTTCTTTAAAATTAAATGAAATATTTTACTCACAACTGCTGTTTTCGTGGCTTTTTCCTGGGACTCATCTCCATAGGCGGTTTGGCATCTTCCTCTTCTTTATTATTTGTAATAGCATGGTTGCTGTCTTCGTTTACTTCGGCCAAACCGGGACTGGATGTTGCCGAAATCGTCGTACTACCTCCTACATATTTAAAATCAACAAATAAAAATATAATTTTGGAACGTTTTGATCTTTGAATTATTTTTTAATGACATAATATATCTCCTGTAGTTCATAAATAAAACTGCTTCCTTATTGCACATTTAATTTACTTTTCAAATATTTGTTTAAATAAAAGTAAACCTTTGGCAACAAAATTTAAATTCTTTGGACGTATTGGTACAATTATTTTAAACTTTAATAATTACTTCTTTAGCCTGGTGCGATATCCGATTGACAAAATTTTGCCAAAGCACTTTATAAATGGTAAAGTTTCCTATGGTTTTTTAAAAAAAAATGACTCTTATCAATATGGCGAAGTGTAGTGAAATCATAGTTTTAACGTCTGAGCTGTATAAGCTCAAGAAAAATGAATTAATCGATCTAATTTTAACATTTAAAATACCGATATCTGTGACTAGTGAAAAAATAAAAAAAACTTATGGTCAGTGATAAACAACCAGTAAATAAGGAAAAATTCCATGATACTTACTCTAACCTCAATTATTGTGTTCAATGTGAAGAAAGTCTTAAAAAGTTAGACCAAATAAAATGTGAATTAGACACTATGAGTAAACTAACTTTTCACCTGGAAAAACGCACACAAGAACACTACAGATGTAATTGCGCTATTAAAACATCTTAAAACTAATAAATAATACGCAAAAATTCGAATTCAACTTTAATATTAAATGGTTCTCATCGGGCTCAGTTTGGATTAACAGGGGACAACAAAAACTTAACAAAAGATAACAATTCTAAAGATAACAACCCACAAAAAAATTTCAATGAAGTTCTTAAAACAAAAAATATACCAAAACAAACCTTCAACGAAAGCAGGTATGAAAGGTCAACAAACTCTGAGGACAAAAACAGAGGGAATTCCCTTTACAAAAAAGATACAACAATAACGCAATCATTGGAAGCAATGAAATTTAAAATAGTAGGAGACAAGGTTTTTTACATCTGTCAAGAATTGGAAATGAGATAAAAAGTAACATAGTCAAATAAAATTTACTTTACTTAACTGATTAGTAGAACATGTACATTATACCAGATTCGTCCTCTAGCTACTACCGATTGTTCCCAAAACTGTAAGAACAAGTGACAATATTTTGTCAGCCTTAAATGAATGGTTTTTAAGAGATTGGCAAAACTTTTTTCTTAAAATGCTGGAGCATTAAGACTGAAGGATATTATATCGAAAAATAAATTATTGGAGTATTCTTATTATTAAACTTAGGTAACGGGCGAAGCATATGAACCAACCTTCGTATTAAACATAAAGATGAGTAAAAGAAATGTGGTAATTAATCAAAAAGACTCAACAATTCTTTGAGCACAAATAGTAGTTTCCAAAAAAACATATATTGATAAAATATCACAAGTTTTTTTCAGGTACAGTATCATGACCTACAGAAGACATCCATTACATCAATAATATCGGCGTAAATACTTGCCTGAACTGTGTCCGTTTCCTCTAGAATCGGGCCTCGAAGGCGGCGACACCGACGGCAAGGGCCGCACTTGCTGGTGTATCCCGAGCTGGGACTGCTGCGAGGGCAAATTGGCTAATACGGGAACGAGATTCTTGGCCGCTTTGAGCGGAGAACCTTCATGGTCTCGTTTTCTTAAGATGCTCGGCCTGGGCGAGGAAGACACTTTGATCGCGCTAATCGGATGCGCTTGCTGTTGGATTTGTTCAGGAACTTGTGCAGAATGCTGTTGGTCGCTGATTTGCGATTGCTGGATTTGTTGGGGGTTGTTACGGTTTGGTTCTACCACCATGACTGAGTTATAGCGCAATTGCTGATTCGATACGATTCCTACATTCAAGATTAACTCGATATAAATAAAATCGCATTTATCGAGTAATTCTTTTGATCATATAGATACTAGATACGTAACGTATCTTTTGTACTATGGCAAATATTTTGTTCCATTATCTCGAGTATATTTTTCTATATTATTATGACGTAATTATTTGTATTATTACACTAAAGCACAGTTGTACCACTCGAGTTGAAGGGAGGTTCAACTGAACCTGGTTTTGACTGTGATATTTTAGGTATGATTAATATGACGTTTGTCACAGTCTAAATCAGTTTCTGCTGAACCTCCCCTGAACTAGGTTCAACTGTCATTGAATTTGACATAATATACGTTTTTAGTTTTTTTTTTAATATTGTTTGCAGGTCGAAAAAAATTAGTTTAAGGGTATTTAACCAAATTATTTTTAATGTTTAAAAGAAAACAACCTTGAAAATAATGTAAATAAAATGTTAATGAATATCTATAACCTCTATTTTTTTGTCTACTGTCACCGTCATTATCAGTGGAACACAAATTACGTCATCACTAATATATCATATTGTTTTTAATCCCATCTTAAACATAGGTGGATAAAATAAAAATTAAGAAAATAAGCACGAAAATTGTAGAGTACCTACCCCTTAATAATAAAGGTAACAAATACACTAATATTTGAACGTTACTGATTTTTAGTTAAAACATTTCAAACTATTTCTCCACAATTTTTCAATTCATCAGTTTTCTGATTGATATAACTTTTGTTGTGAACTTAAATATTAACTTGACTAATACATTTTCTTCAATTTTGGTTTTTGTTTTATTGGAACAAGTAAGGATTGTACAGGAATGTAAAACGATAATATTTGTATGTTGACTACTCCGGATTTCTAAGTGATTAGCAACTTTTTATAGATATTTTTAAAGTGCCAAGCTATTGGATTATTTTAAATATCATCTTCATTTGGAACTGATGAAAAGAAAATTTGTCATTTTTGCGATAATAGAAAATTTATCACCTGCTCGACAACATAATCATTGTATATTCATTCCCCTGGTACTTTAAATGCATATAAAAATCCTAGAATTCCCGTTTTTGTTTTACTACAAAGGTTTTCTAAACATATATGTTACTTATACATGGTGCATGTTTAAAAAGTTGCCGACTGACTATCTCCAAATATAGAAGCCGTGCATCAGTGAAGTTGGCTCGATTACACAAAATATGAAATTTTTGAATGTACAGTGTGTATATTAAATATACGGAAAACTTTTGTATTACTAGTTTTATCCGAAAAATGTATTATTCGTAAAAAATTGTGCATGGACAAATTTTATGAGTCTTATATGAGGTTTGCCAAAAAATTATTTTTGGTCAAGAGTAAAGTACATTCATTTTTGACAAACCCCGTATACAATTTTTTTATAAAATTAATAATAAAAAAGATTTCCATATATACAGCCAACTTATGTAGACACACTTTATACGATAAGCAATTTAATTTTGGCAATAGAATTTTGGTCTCTTTAAATGTTGTCATTTGTATAAATATTCCGGTAATTGGCATATTCATTGATGCAGACTCATAGAACAATCATAGAAAAAACTTAAAACGAGACTGGACTGTGCTATCATGCTATCAGACTTCAGAAACCTACTCCAAAAAATTACTTAGCTGCATACCTAATTAAATTACCTATCGGACCAATATCAAATCTACCAAATCGAATGGGATGCTAATTCTTTCTAAAGACTATCCCAGTTTCATGTTACAGACAAAAAATAGGTAAGATCAATCATCTAGTATGTATCAATGTGCAATTCGAGTTACAGAACTCTGCATTTATTGCTTACCGTGTACTTGTTGAGAAGGCGGTCTGATGTGAGGCTGATTCGCTTGATTCAAAGCTGCGAACGATCCGGCCTGTTGTTGCTGTGCAAAATTTCGATTTTGCACCGGGAAATTGTTGGACCCGTTATCGTAGAAGTAAGTACCACTGGCTAAAGAGTAAGTCGCCACTGTGGTGGTGGGTATGGCACTGCTGGTCTGAGTGATAATGCAATTGCTCGGATTCGGACCTAATATTAAATAAAATTGCTATAAATCGACCAGTTATTGAACAGAAAACTTTCCGTCGCACTGACAGGAGTGTCAATTGTTGAAAACGGCCTACTTATATTTTGATAAATTCATGTATACAAGGTGTCACCTTAATAGGGAATGTGATGCATTAATGATTGTGTGAAACATGAGCCAAATAAAGTTGTTTATAGACTAAATACTGTGCTAAATAACTAGTTTTTAATCTATTATTTCATTTAAGTGATTTTAGGTCTTAAAATATACAGATTGCAGAATTAGTTTGATAGAATTGCCAATTATTTTATTAAAATATTAAAAAATAGCCCAGTCAACAACTTATATGAACTGTATTTGGTGAATTTCATATCCATACAGTGTCCTTAATATGAAATGGCCTACTTTTTTGTTCTGCAGTCTGTGCTTAGAATAGCTAATATCCATGTGGGTGTAGAACATTTTTTTCTACGCCCAATGTATATTATCTATTTTTTACCAGAGACTACTGAACGAATAAGTAGACCCTATTGGTTTACTGAACGGGTATAATTTCATATCCATTTTAGTAAAGACCACTGTACGGATATGAAACCCACCAATCACTTCATATTTGGTGAACGTCTATTCTTAATTTTTACAAGATTTGTATTAACTTGCAATGTTTGTATGTTTGTCAAATCTTGCAACTGAATTTTAAAACAGTTATCTCCAACATTAGATAAAAGAGACCAGAGATATAACATACATCAGTATTTAACCTGCGCAAATGTTGCCAATTTCTAAAGAAAGGTTAACGGAGTGGGGAACTGGGCAGAGACCCGAACTCTGTAACAGGGACCGGACTTTGTTTATTAGCGTCATAATGAACAATTAGATTTATTTAAAATATATGTTTAAATGGAATTTTGTATTATGAAATAAAATTAACGTGATTTTTTAATATCAAACAGATGCCACTACATTTTATGTAAAGAGAAGACCTTTTATAGGATATTTCGTTAGCATTAATTTACTATGAACTTTTCAGCAAGAAATTACAGTAGAATGTTCAAATAGAATATTGTTAATGGAGCAAGAAATGGTACTCATTGTCTACGAGTATTATAAAAAAAAGCATGTGCGCAGGCGCAACCTTGTGAGTTGAACATTATATTTTTTCTACGGCTATTACATAATATTAAAAATTAGTCAAAATGAGAAAATGCTGTTTTGTATTGTAACCTCAGCCTCTTTCTTTATGAATATTAATTAATATAGAGGATGAGTCACATAAAACTCTAGAAATGCATATGTCTGAAACCAGATAACATTTTAAAATTTAAACCTATTAAAAGTCATTTGGTCGCTAGGGGTGGGTGATTATCAAAATAAATTATTGATCATTGAAAATAATCGATTATTTTCAAACAATCTATTTTCTTGTTGTATTTTCTTTAAAATCGACTGCTTGATTATCTTTGAAAAATCAAAAATAATCGATTAATTAAAAAGCCAATTAACCAATAAATCAGTGTTTACAAAAAATAATAAAAGAATTATCGTTTATTTTAAATAATCAATCATTTTCAAATAATCAATTTTTTTTGTCCATTGAAATAGATTATTCGATAATCTTTGAAAAATCGAAAATAATCGATTAATTAAAAAGTCGATTAACTGATAAACCGATTATCAAAAAAAAAAAAAACTGAATTATCGATTATTTTAAATAATCGATTATTTTCGATCAACCGATTATTATCAATAATTTATTTTTATTGTATTTCTTTTAAAATCGATATTTCGATTATCTTTGAAATACCGAAAATAATCGATTATTCTAAAATAATTGCTTAATCGAAAATAACCAATTAATTAAGAAACCGATTCTACGATAAATCTATTTTCCAAAAAAATAACCGAATTATCGATTATTTTCTAATAATCCTTTTCATGTTTCTTTTAAAATTGATTATTATATTATCTTTGAAAAATCGAAAATATTCGATAAATCGAAAATAATCGATTATTAAAAATCTGAAAAATAACCGAAATATCGGTTATATAAAATAACCGATTATATTCGATCAATCGATTATTTTCACATAATACTTTTGAAAAATCGAAAATAATTGATTAATCGAAAATAATCGTATAATTTAAAAAACCGATTAAACGATAAATCGATTTTTCCTAAAAATCGATTATTTTTATTCAATCGATTATTTTCTTTTTTTATTTCCTTTAAAATCGATTATTACGTTATCTTAAAAAAACGAAAATAATTTATTAAAAATAACGGATAAATCGATTTTCATAAAAGATATCAGAATAATCGATAAATAGATTATTTTTGTAACCCCTATCGGTCGCTTGCTTTTATCCGAGCATTTAGCTCCAAAATTTAGAGATTCGGATTTTTTGACCCCGTTATCTTTGAAACCGCATTCGATTGTATAATAAATAATAAATATTGCTAGAATTTGGATTTTTTTAGTGAACGAAAATTTTGTTCCGAGTTGTTTAGGAGTTTATAATGTAACATTTTATTAATATGACTAACTCCCGTAACTTTAGTATTTTTTTGCTTATACTAGATCATATTGTGCGTTTTACTTTGTTTTGAGACTTAAGATTCAAATGTCACTTTCGATTTGACCGCAAATAAGATGAACCTTGAAATTTTAAGTAGATCATCCTGAATTTCATCTAATATTCTTATAAAAATACCTTATAAAAACAAAATTTAGCACCTATGCTTCTTTACTTCTTATTTATCTACCAAAAAGGGCAAACCACCTTTAGTAAATATTCTTATAAAAGTACTTTTTAAAAACAAAATTTCATTAGCAACAATGCCTATTTACTTATTTAATTTAAATGTTCACAATTTTACCCTTTTGTAAATTTATGTAAGTAATATGAAATCTTTTTTCTGAAATATGTATTTGATGCTTAATATTTATTGAAACCCCTTAATGCGGATCTGAAGTATTCAGCCCAAAGGATCATGGCGCTTTATGTCAAAACGTTAATAAATATTTACCACTGAAAACGAATATATTTTCATAACATTGGTACTTGTATTATAAGTATATACAATTTTTCAAGATACATCGTGGCATTTTGAACTTAAAATTGAATAACTAGAACACTTTAAATTGCTAAAACACCAACAAATAAATCAAAAAACAGCTGTCAATTATGATTGAACTCAAGCAGAGGTGAGCATTGAATGACAAAATCGGAGCAATTCGGGTGGCGTCGTGCAAACAATGATTTTCAATTGGTGGGTTACTTGGGGATAAAATAGACAACATGCGCAGTGTGCAATGTTACATCTTCGGTCTCTTTAATCTAAGTCTCCAACCGATTGAGCCGAAATTTTACAGGCTCGTTTAGTATGGATGACGTCATTCTAAAGCCAATAAGGCATACTCCCAAAGATGACGGACTAGTTATTTTTATGCACCCCCCATGATACCGGTATCAATTGAAAGGACCTGAGAAGAAAAAAATGACGTCACACTAATTTCAAATTGTGGACCCCCAAGAAGGCGGAAATAATGTTCTACCATCAAGATGTGGGTATCAAATGAAAAGGTTTGCTGAGAAAAATACGAAAATAAAATAATGTCACTCTAAATTCAACATGACGGACACATAAAAGTTTGTTTTTAAAAATGTTTTTTTTTTTATTATTAATTTAAATTTCAAATAAGTGTCAATTCTGTGAAACTAATTGTCAGTTTATTTGTTAGTTATCTATTGAGATTGCATATAATTAAAAATGAAAGAAAATTTTGTGTGAAGCGTTACCCTTCGACCTGGGTTCAAATCCCGGCTGATACCATTTTTTTTTTAGATATCTTTTATTAAAAGTAAAATTTATCATTCAAATTTTTGTGTTGTCTTTAAAACAAATATTTTATCTTAATATCTAAATTTGAATTTTTTTAAATTTTGTAGATTTATGTTAGTGGACCGTAGAAAAAATACTGCATAACTTGAAGGGAATGTCCGTATTGATTGAGCATTCCGCTTACAGTGTCGTACTCAAACTTAGCCTTTATGCGATATGGCCATCATATCCTATCTTTTTTGCACAAACTACTATTATTGGAAACTTTCTCACAAAATATTTTCTCTATAAAACAGTTATGCTGCGTTAAGTTTTTATATTTTATTGTGAGCCATTTAGATTACCAATAATGTTTTTGCCCGACTTTAAACCCAAAATGCACTTACCAAAACTTAAATTAAAAAAATGATTGTTTATACAGAGACTATAGTCTAGAGGAGAAAGGAGTGCAGTAATTTAATTACAGGTTCAAGAGGTAGACATTTTATTTATACCTCATTCTTTAATGCTTATTTGTAGTTAAAATGAAAATGTAAATACCTCTGATCGGCCTAATAAAAGTTTTCGTTTAGATTTAATCATGTTTTTACTGTAATAAACCTTTTCTTTTGACAGATAAGTTAGACTTTCGAAAATACTTTGTTTCACTTTCTGTAGATAGAATAGCCACTAAATGTGAGAGACCTATACTGGAGTATCTAAGCGGACAGTGTATAACATTATTAAAGAGGATACAGTTATTGGAGAAGTATCAAATCCGAAAAAGCCTCCAGGAAAAAAGACCTTTATTGAAACTTGGGTAAAGATTGTAATAAGGCAAAAAAATATTACATGAATTAAATTTTCGTTACAAAAAACGTGACAGAAACAGAGAAAGACGAAATCATTGTGTGGAGATATGATTATTTAATGAAAATAGCAGACGCAATGAATCAGCATAAACACAGGTATTTTATTTAGATGAATCATGCGTTAATGTTGGACATACAGTAATAAAAATTTGGCAAGATACCTCCATCAAAACTAAAAAACAAGTCTTTATGGAAGGGGTCTCTTGTGGATTAAAAAATCCAACATAAAAAGGAAATCGTTTAATAATAACCCACATTGGAAGCACCCTTGGTTTTTTGCCAGATCCTTTATTAATTTTTGAGTAAAAAAAAAACAAAAGATTAAAATGAAGAAATGGATCTCCCTATATTTGAAAATGGGTTTAAGAACATTCTGAAAAAAAATTCCAGCCAACTTCGTTATTGTTTTGGATAATGCATTCTATCACAGTCGAAAGGAGTCACTACCTATAACAAGATGGAAAAAAAGAAGATATTTCAAAATGGCTTCATTCTAAAAATATTAACAGTCCTCCTAAATCTTTGAAGGCAGAATTACTCTTAATAGCAAGGCAACATAAAAACAAATTCAAAAAATATATTATAGATGAGATGGCCCGACAAAAAGGAATTAAAATTCTCAGATTGTTTCCTTACGACACAGAGTTAAATTCCATTGATCTGATCTGGTCACAATTAAAAGGTTATGTTTCTCGAAACAATACATTTAAATTTGTTTTTCTACGAACTCTTACAAAAAGACATCTTTCGCCACAGGATACTTTCAGCGAAAACTTGATTTCCGTCACTAGTGAGAAAAAATCCCATAACGTTTACTTTCGTCTCTAGTGACGAAAGTAAGTTGTTACATATTTTCATATATCAGTCGCCTCGTATAATATTTTGGCAGCTTATAGGGACCGTGCGTGAAATATAGAGGCAGCACTACTGCCGAACTTAGCCCTCTCTAGTGTTTAATTTTAGAATTAAATGGGGTAAACATTGCAAGTAAATAATTAAGGGTATTTTTTTAAATATTAAATATAGTTAAAAATAGATACCGGCCCGTACCAAACAATCGTGTACATGGTCAAAATGACGTAAAATGTGAAACATTATTAAAATCTGGACATGCATATACTTTTTAAGCAAAAAGATTTAAATGGCTAAGTGACAATAAATTGTAAAGTTGTACCTTAAACAAGTGTATCCAATGTTAAAATATCGGTATTTAGTAACACTGAATTTAAAAGTATTACAATAACATTTAAATAATGTAAATTAATAAAAAAGATTGATAATAATAATTATAAATCTTTTTAGCTTTATGTTAATCGAAATGTCATTCAACCACTGACGTTTATGAGATGTTCAATGATACATATTATAGATTGCTCACCCATCTATAAAAAAATTATGAAAAGCGGGTTGCAATGTGCCTTTCCTAGTGCTCACTAAATAGAGCCGTTCTAGCCCAAATGTGTTTTAAAATAAAATTTCAGCATTTTAATCTTTAGAAAAAGAAAATAATTAAAGTTTTACTTCAAGACATGTCATTATGTATTTGGAAAGTTGAGTTTTCATGTAGTTAAATAATATTAAGAGATCTAAACAATTTTTATAACAGATAGATATAAATAATTTTAGACTACTATTTCAGAAACAATTCTACATAAAATACATAATTGCAATATGTAATACAATTTTGAAAAGGTAATGTAAACAATTTTGATATGAGGTATAAACAACTTTGGGAAGAGTTGTAATTGGACACTTATCTATTATTCTGAATAATGTTTAATGGTAATGTCACTAAAAAAATTTACAAAAATCACTGGATTATTAATATTTTAAAGTTTGTTACAATCTCTTTTGACAGTAATTGCAATGTATTATTTATATGATTATTTTAATAATAAATGAGAAATAGTTAATAAATTGTAAAGAGGGCCGTGATATTTTTGTCAAATTGGACATTCTTATTTCATATTCTACATTAGTTTTAATCAACAGTATAAACCATTATCTGTAAAATGATATTTATATAAAATGTTCATTTAAATATGTAAAAATCTTAATGACAAATAAACACTAAAGATTCTAATTTCTAAACCGGTTCTGTAAATGATTTCTTTACAACTAAGTGCTCAAAATTGATACAAGCTAGATAAAAAGAAAACTTTGCCCAGTGAAATACGCTTTTCGTCGTCTGATTTACATATGGATAAGCAATCTTTGTAATTATGTATATCATTGGGTGTGAGGCATAATTGTGCTCTGTGGAAATTTATAAAATTTCTTTACTATCGAATGAAATCCAGGTTTCCAAAGTGATGTGTTTGTACATCCACGGATGCAACAAGTTTTTTCGATATTGATATTACGAAAATAATTCGACTTCATTTTATTAATAATTATTAAACAATACATGCCGTATAAAACATTAATAAATACCCCCCATAAAGTTCACATTTTTGTCACCAGTTAGCGTTAAAGTCATGACGCACGGTCCCTATAATTATTAATAATGAAATAAAAAGATGCTCATTAAATTCTATATGCGTTTTTACCTAAACTTTAATGAATTAAATAAAAATGTATAAAAATAGTGCAAATTAAACCAATCTACATCTAGTTTCCTGGTTTTCATTTGTTTATTTGAAGTTTTATCACTTTTGAGAACTGTCAGTTTCAGTTCGTCCTAAATTTAACACATTTTCATGATGTCTGAGTCAGAAAGCGATTGTACTCCCCCAGAAATTATTTTTAAAGCTGAAGAAACCTCTTCAGATTTATTACCGGCCAAATCAAAAAAGAGATATGAAGAAATTTATATCAAATTTTTGGACTGGAGAGAAAAAATAAAGTGAAATCATTTTCGGAAACTGTACTACTAGCATACTTTGGAGAAATATGTTCAAATTTTAAACCGTCGACGTTATGGTCCATTTATTCGATGCTAAGAACTACACTCTCTGTTAAAAATGATGTCGATATTAGTAAATATCCAAAGTTACGTTCGCTTTTGAAAAGAAAATCTGATGGTTTTAAAAGCCAAAAATCCAAAAATTTTTCGCCTGAAGACAAAGACTTTCCTAAAGAATGCACCTGACTATAAATATTTAATAACAAAGGTAACGGAATTATTATTTTTATTTTAACAAATACATAATACATAACTACTAATATTTGTAGGTAGCATTAGTTTTTGGATTATCTGGCGCTTGTCGTTGCCACGAACTAAAAGATTTAACAATAAGCGATGTAAAGGATACTGGAAGTATTCTGTTAGTTAAAATCCGTAATACAAAAACAAAAGTTCCGCGTTCTTTTCATATTTCTGGACCCTTTTATATTTCTAAAAAATATATGAGCCTACGTCCCGCAAACATGGATCAAATTAATTCAAGATTCTTTATTAACTATCAGAATGGAAAGTGTAGCAGACAGGTTGTTGGAATTAATAAAATCAGTAAATTTCCTAACGAAATTGCTCAGTTTTTAACGCTTCCGAATCCTCAAGATTACACTGGGCACTGTTTCCGCAGAACATCCGCAACGCTATTAGTGGATGCAGGAGGTGACTTGCTTCTGTTAAAAAAGCACGGTGGTTGGAAATCTAGTAGTGTTGCGGAAGGATATGTTGATGAATCCACGAACAGTAAAAACCAAATACAAACCAAAATTTTACAATCTGTACAAAATAAGGAAACTACTAGTTCATCCGATTATGGCACATCATCATCTGAAATGACATTTAACAGTAGAACAAATATGTTGGCATCTACCTCAATAAATAAAAAGCTTGAGTGTGATACCCCCATAATTTTGAACAATTGTTCAAATATAATAATAAATCAATATTTAAATAATAAATAATATTTCTGAAATATTTAATTGTTGGTTAATTTTTTGTTATTCCTAACACAAAATAAAGCATTTGCTAACGTTTGTTTTTTTTTTCATTTTAGTAGGTACCTACGTGACATAATAGAGTTCGTAGAAAAAGTAGTGTTTTACTTGTCGAAAATCATTTTTTGAAGCGAAAATTCATTTTGGATAGTGTTTAAGGCCATGCTTTATTCAATTATGTTTTGTTAAAATCAAAAGTAACGCAATGAATTCTCCATATAAATTACCTTTTCAATTATATTATACTTAATGTTTTCCCTTTAAATTTTATTGGGATGGGAAATGTATATGTTAGTTGAGGATATGATAGAAAGATGTCCCTCCTTTAATCAAAAATTGGCGAGTTTGAGGGTTTGTCTAAAATGTTGACACATTTCCTGATAATGGTTCTGGTATATTTTCGTGTGGACACCCTATATATGTATACAACTATGTCACACTTGAAAAACAAGGAATTTTTGCTAATACAATCTTTCAAATATCAGATAAATCAGATATAAATAAACTTTTGATATAGAATGTAGGAACTAAATCTAGACAGAGGTCAAATTTCCTGGCCTCCTAGGTCCCCTAATTTTCTGGCAGCATCTTAAAACTTTAGTTTATAAAATGATTTTTAATTCTGTTTAAATTATATGTTGATAAAAAATATATAAATTAATAAATGTAAGTACCTTTGCTCTTTTAACAATTTACATTTTAAAAAATTATTTATATTAAAAAACAATAAATCAATATTTTTTAATTAAAATTTACTATTATTATAAAATTACTTGCCTGTTTGTAAGGAATTTTATCTAAAATGAAAAGTAAAAATGATTCAAACCCAGCAACAATTGTGATAAGATTTTATCAGAACATAACAAAATCAAATATATGATATATATGCAATATTGAATTATAGTTTGATCTGTAGATTTGCAAATAAAATAAACAGAAAATAAATAAATTGTAAATAAAATAGAACAGTTTATTTATAAAAAAAAAAAATGAAAGACTTACTTGGAGAAGAATGCCTAGTCGTAGATTGCACAGGTGTGTGTATAAAAACGCTAGTAGCGGCGGTGACTGCCACTTGGTTGTCATTTTGAGGAAAAACCTTAGCTATAGATATAGCTTGAGGTGGCACCAGAGTCGCTTGTCTCTGTTGGGTCACAATAGCAGCAGGGACATTGACTATAAAACAAAATAATCATTTTTAATGCCAGCAACCAATAAATGTATTCAAATAAATTGTAATTTGTTTTTAAAACTTTTTATTTTTACCTAAGGAATAAAGAATATTAAAAAGAAAAACTAATAGAAGGGTACTTACTTGTTCTTGCAACAGTAGAAACACCACTCTGAGTTGTTTTAATTTGAGTTGTCAATGGTGTCAGTTGAATAGTTCCTAAAAAAATACTAAATTGTAAAGATGTTCCAAAAACAATACCGTAAATTATTTAATAGTCATTTTGTTCTGCTTTGTCACTGTGTTATTGTTATTTATGTAATGTTAAGACCCAGAAAATTGTTAAAACTACTGATTTAATTCGATTAGTTGAATGATAGTGTCTTTATTAAAATTAGTCACCTGTTATTGTACTTAAGATTGCTAATAATTCGTCATTATAAGCTAATAGGCAGCTTAGACGTCTGATAAAATAATAAATTGTTTTTAAATAAGTTTCCTGGGACCAATTACTGCATGAATTTACCCTTAAAGAGTACATTGAATTAACAAACATATAATTGAGTAGTGGTAGGTTTATAATAAAATCAATAATTGTAAATGGAGAATTCACATATAAAAAGGAAATATGTATATAAATAATAAAATATATCGAAAGTATATGACAAAATAATTTTTCTATCTTAAAATATTTACTAGGTAGTAAAAATTGAGAAAGAAAGTCAGGTACTTGTTTAACCTTTAAAATGTTTTGTTCCTACTTTGATATGTGGCAACTGCTTAAGGTTGTTTCTTAGGTATTTAATCTGTTCCACTCGGAAAAGTCCTTCCATCCTAGGTTAATAGAAAAGGAAAGGGATTTCAGAATAGTTTAGACCACTCTTGTAAATGTTGTTATTGTATGAGTATTCTGTGGTTATGATCTGCACAATAGTATTTTGATGTTTCTACAATCCTCCTACTGTCTGAAACTACAATTTTACCAAATTCAAGTCTATGGTCACAAATATAAAGGCGTTTTTTTGGAGAAATGCCCCTTAAATTTAAAAATATAGAACAAGCAGAAAATTACATTCACAGTTTATGTCCTTAAAAAAGCTTATATATTCATTTATAACCCAAAATTAGATTACTTCTAAATATTTTTTCACAAGTTACCTAACCTTAAAAGATTTTTAAAGATATTTTTCGAATTCTTACTATTTAATGGATATTTGGACAATACAATATTAGTCATTACAATAAAAGTGAGGTAGGATAATATTGTTTTTAAAAATAACGCTATTTTAGATGTCGTCAATTACTAGACAATGTTACCACATATTAAACTAGAAATGTAATGTTTTAAAGCTTAAAAAAAAGAAGAGAATTCCCCATTTTTAATGAAAGAAACCAAAGTTTGGATATTTTCCAGTCCATTTCGCATATAAAGTGTAAATAAAAATCTTGGGTGTTACCTTGAGCAGGCTGAGTAATGACCTTGGGCCCCTGTGACGCCAGCGTACATCTAGCCTGGACAGAGTTCCCACTCGCCACGGCCACCAAAGAATGCAAATTCAGAGTCGATATTTTTGTCTGCCCTAGGAAATTGGTAGTAGATACTTGTGCAGGCGTAGCTGCAGCCACAGATAGACGTCCAATGGAGAGATTCGGCTGACTAGCCACTATTCTAGAACCAGCACCCAATGTAGAGGTCGGTTGAGATGTGGCAATGGCAGATATCCTGGCGGCTGAAGTCAGAACTGTTGCTTGGGGTGTTACCAATCGAGCACCAGATTGGGACACGTTTACTGGTACCGTTAAGCGGGCACTGGTGACTTGAGACTGTTTTTTTTATTAAAATAAATTAGATTTAGAAAAGTAGAACATACAAATGCTAATACTTACTATAGTTCTAGTTTGAGTAGGTCTTGGATTAGAAGCAGTGGTAGTGACTGTTATTCTTGCTGTTGGATTGAACTGAGCTGTTGAATTGGCATTGTAAAGAACACCTTGAGTAGTGCGAGTGGGCAATACTTGAGCTAAAGTGACAGTATTACCCAAGGTATGGATGCCAGTAGTGCCAGCTTTGAAAGAGGGCATCTAAAAAACGTGTGTTACAGTCATGACAATAATATGTATATTCAGTAGTACCTGGCCTGGTTGTCCAATTGAAATGGCATTCTGCAAAATGGTTCCAGGGCGAATAGCTGAAACTGTCTGGGGTTGGGTTCTTGTGATTACAGCTGGCTTTCCAGTAACTGTAGCCCCTCTAACAGGTGAACTCAATACAGTTGGTGCACCTTTAATTTGGGAACCGCTTGAGTTGTTGGTCAACCAAGCTGTTCCTGGAGCAGGACTAGGAGTCCGAGGCGGGCGCACAAATGTATGAGGCTGCATTAATTTAATATATAAGTTGTTGCATTAATAACTACTATATATAGAGCACTGAATATTCAAATTTAAAATATATATTTTTTAATAATTAATCTTTAATGAAATGAAAATATTGATTCAAAATAAAAAAATCTGACTAGTTTAAAATAAAAAATGCTCTTCTTCAGTTCTTTTTTTTTTAAACCTAACAATTTTTTTAAACATTTTAATGAAAAAAAAAAAAAAAAACAATCACATCATACAATTTATAATTTACACAGTCTGGACAAAATATTATATATATAATTTAAGTCAAAAAATACATAAAATATTTAGGAAAATCAATGAAAATTGGACAAAATTGAGAATAAAAACTATAAATAAATTAAGTAACAAACTTTTACCTGACCACCTTGAGCAGTAACTACCATTGGTGTTCTGCCTGCAGCAACATTGCCCCTAGGAGCAGCTAAATTAGCTACAACTGCTGGGCCCCTAGGAACATGGTAGGGATTTTGGGTAGCACTAGAAAGTGTAATCTGAGCAGGTCTTGCGAGATTAGCAGTTACCTGGGGCTGAGAAGTATTGCTTGTGATGATACTCGCAATTTGTGGCCTACTAGAATCTAAAATACAATACACTAAGTCACATAAAGCTAAGCATATTGAATGAAAATAACAAACCTGGCTTCAAAACAGCTTGAGAGACTAAATTGGTTGTGATTATAGTAGGCCCTCCAAGGGAAGATGTTGTTGAGCTAGAGACTCCTTGAGCCAGCACCCTCATACCCCTCAGAGATTGATTAGACATCAAAAGGGGAGTTTTGCCATCCACAGTGCGAATGTTTGTTATTTGATTTCTCGCTAGATCTAAAGGAACTGCCTTCGGAGAATCCTTATCGTCCTCAACATTTGTACTCATTTTTAGTAACTTACAATTAAACCACACGCTATTTCAAAATATTAATATACAAATTCAATAAGCATCTGTTTTTTTACAAAAATTAAATTTACTGTTAAAATCCATAAATTAGACAATTAAAAAATCTCTGCTATGTTACAGAATTTTAAAACAATATAAGTTTTTTTATTCACTGATAAAGATGCCATAACTAATTTAAATAAAATGATTTTTTTCACTACCATAAAATTCAACTTTAAAATTACGAGTAATGGCGGATGGACAGTAAAGGTTACATAAATTTGGCAACCTTGTGCGCAAGAGATTGTTGTCAAGCTAAAAGTACGTTCGGTAATTGAACACAATTTGATCTTCAATTTAAAACTGTATAAGATAAATATTTTGAAATAAAATAATAAAAAACGAAACAACGAATTGAAATGTTATACGAATTGATTAATAAAAAATTTAATAAAAATTAGAGAAAACAAAATTTTAATGGCTGATTCCTTATTTTTATTAGGCCATCAATTAAATAAAAAAAAATGTATGGATAATCAATATAAACCAGGACATAGTAACAGAAGAATTTTAACCAGCCAGTTTATTATGTCAAAGGCAAGGGCGTTTATAAGAAAAAAGAAGGGTTTATTTATTTCCAACTTCATTTTATTCAGTCTTGATCTTTTGGAAATTTGACATTTCTGGAAGAAAATTTAAAATTATCAGAATCATCTTGTTATTATTTTTAATTAATATCACATAGAAATGTCGACATTTCCAGGATCTATCGCCTTTGATGAATATGGGCGCCCCTTTATAATTTTAAGGGACCAAGACAGACAAAAAAGATTAACCGGAATCGATGCATTGAAGGTAAGGTTATGTTTTGATTTATGACAACTGCTAATAATTTTTAATATTTTAAGTATAAGATAATATAAATATGATGCATAGTGCAAATAGTTTAACAGCAAATATCTTAAAATTTCGTTTTAGTCACATATTTTGGCTGCAAGTCAGATTGCTCACACAGTTAGTACTTCTTTAGGACCAAAGGGTTTGGACAAGATGATGGTGTCACCTGACGGTAAATACATAGTTGTATTTTGAATGACTAGATATTAATTTATTACGAATTTGCAGGAGAAGTTACGGTGACCAATGATGGCGCTACTATTTTGAAAATGATGGATGTTGAGCATCAAGTAGCTAAATTGTTGGTTCAGTTATCCCAGTCTCAGGATGATGAAATTGGTAAGAGAATCATAATAATATGAATTTTCATTAGTTCTTTATTTTCGCTCAATTTTTAGGAGATGGAACAACGGGAGTTGTAGTTCTAGCAGGAGCTCTTCTAGAACAAGCAGGTACTCTATTAGATCGTGGTATTCACCCAATTAGAATCGCTGATGGTTTTGAACTCGCCTGTCAGACAGCTGTAGAGCATTTGGAAAAAATTGCCGAAGTATTTCCAGTTTCTGCTGAAAATACTGAGCCTCTAGTTAAAGTTGCAATGACCACATTAGGATCTAAAATCATTAATAAATGTCACAGACAAATGGCAGAAATCGCAGTTAATGCTGTTTTAGCTGTGGCTGATTTAGAACAAAAAGATGTTAATTTTGAATTAATCAAAGTTGAAGGAAAGGTAAGAAATACTGTTGAACTAATATATAAATGTACCAGTTAGGAGTTATATTAAGAAACAAAGAGTAAATATATTTTTAAAAACTTCCACAGAACATAAACTTACTTTTTAATAATAGTAATAAAGGAGAAAGAAAATACAATCTGCACCACAATAATAATAATCTTTTATTGGCAACTAGTTTCCAGTCAACTTGCCTAGATGAAATCATATTTTGTATGAGACACAAATTTATACTTATATAACAAATATTGAAAAAAGTTCTATATTATGACATCAAAGCTAACAATAAAAGTGCCTATAAACAAAAAAAATATTGTGAGGCACAATAGGTAATAAATCTTTAGTTTATTACTCAAAGAGTATTTAACATCATACATTTTTGTTACTAAAAAAAATATATTAATTAATTAGAACTTGTTCTATTTTCTACCAAATTTAGTACTAAACATGATTTGAAATGTGCAGAACCTTTTTACAGATTTTAACTCTTCAAAAGTTTTGCAGCATATTTTTTTGTTGTTTGAGGATTTTGAGTGTTTTCTAGTGGATTTTTTTTTTTTTTAATAAAATTATTTTCTTTCATCTATAATTATGCCATCAATGAAACTATGAAAAATTACATGCAGAGGTCATTTCCCATTATAATATAGTTCCGGAATTTCCCAGTGAAAAGCTTTTTCCTGGAAATTTAAAAAAAAAGTGTAGAAGGAAAAATTGGAAGTTTTTATTTTTTATTTAAATTAAAATAACTTGTAATATACAAAATATAAAACTGTGATTTTTATATTATAGTTTATCTGCATTTTAACAATGTCAAAGAAGTTTTTTTGAAAATAGTTTGAATCAAATTATTTAAGTGTAATTTATAGACTTTTTTGCAATAATGCTCTAAGATCTGTTTAATGGATGAAAGTTTCTTTTTATTAAATAAAATATGTTTATAAATATACCTAAGAAAATATGGTCCAGACTATTAATTTTCTTAAAGTAAAAAAAAGAACAACCTGTAAAATATTCCCCAGTTACTTGGACTATGCCCAAACTTTAATCAGCTCACCGCAGGATGGAATAAAGCTTAAGTTTAAAATTTGGTGTTTTTCTCTTCATCCGTTTTTGAATTAATTTCAAAATTCGAAATTTTCACTTTTCCTTAAATATCTCCAATTAAGTCCATTTTAGGGAAATGGCATCATAAGCAAATTTTATCATGATTCCTATGCTTTCCTTATCTGTACACAGAAAGGAAAGTAAAAAATAGTCATGACTGTATTTTCTTAGGCAACCCATTTGCGGTATATTTAGAAACATTTTATTTAATAAAAAAAAACTTATTCATTAAACAGATGGGCGAAGGTCGACCTTACTTACGGATCCTGGAGGACTATAAATGTTCTGTAAATTTGTAGATAAAAAAAAAATTCACTTTGGATTATCATAAATTGATTCTTTTTCAATATTTTTTTTTTCTGCAACTTAAATAACAACAAACAACTAAATAGTAATTTTAATAATAATACAACTAAATAATAATTTTAATAATAACACATACTAAAAACAATAATAATTATAACCTGTCTTGAATCTGTCAACTTCATAATAAAAATACATTATATTTGTCTAATTTAACAAGTGATTATGCCATTGCACATGTGTGTATACTTATTTAGTTACTGTAAATTAGTATCATTGCAGATGAAAAAAAAAATATTTTATTTTTATTTATTGAACAACCTACAGGAAATCCCCATTACATAAAAATATACTAAACTCATATAAAACAAACACCAACACTTAAGGGATTAGGTGTAGTCAGAGACATGAAAAAATTACAATTTTAAATAATTTTTTTTAAGCAGTAAATGATTTTATTTTATAAAAGTAAATACATAGCATCATTAAATAAGGTTTCGACTTGACAGAAATTTTAGAAAAAAAAATAATAATTTTAAAAGTAATGGCTGTTTGTGTTGATCCAGTTCCAACCAAAGCTCCTTGTGGTGACTATCACTTATCCTTGGAGATTCATCTAAAATCAATCGGACAATAAAAATTATTTTTATTAATAGATAATCTAGTGCCTGATCGAAGGATTTTTTTTTAAACAGCCATTACTTTTAAAATTATTATTTTTTTTTTTTCTAAAATTTTTGTCAAGTCAAGTCGAAACCTTATTTAATGATGCTGTTTTTACTTTTATAAAATAAAATAATTTATTGGCAAAAAAAATTATTTAAAATTGTCATTTTTTCATGTCTCTGACTACACCTAACCCCTTAAGTCAGTTAAATGTCAAGTATTAACTAATTATAATTATTTTTTGTTTTCGATTTATGGCATAGGTGTATGTACCTAATATGCCAGTCTCAGTTTTGGGTTTGAATTCTTATTCAGGTGTGTTCTGTGTAGGCTTTTTTACTGTTTCCTAACGCCACTTCAGGAACAGCACTTGTAATTAGAACCCAACAGTGAATGGTCGAGTGGGGAATCCTACCTATGCCTTAGAATTAATATTTAATTTATTTTTTAATTAAATAAAAATTCTTGCCACCGCTGGGATTCAATCCTGTGACCTTTCGATTTCAAAGTCATGACTCTAACTACTGAGCCAACCCACCCCCCTAATTATAATTATAAAATATCAAGTACATAATAATAAAAATCATTATGAATGAATGAAAATATTCAAAATATCAAAAGGGTCTGTTTCTTGCAGCTATTCTAAAGCTATCGAAAGACAACTCAGATTATCCAAATTTTATGAATTTGCACTTCTTTGAATTCTTGTTAGAGGACTAAATAAACCATAATTAGTTATGTGAAATGGAATGAACAATAAATAATTTTGATGAGTTACTGGTACTTTAAATTGACTAGATTCCAAAAGTTCAGAACTTAGTGAATCATATGAGGGCGGTTTGACGGAAGAGTGACTTTTCAATTAAAAAGTTACTTTACTTTAAAAAAAAAAATATTTTAATTTTCAACATAATGTCCTTTTAACTCTATACACTTAGCTCAGCGAATTTCCAATTTTTTCAAACCATCCAAAAAATATTTTTTTGGAAGTTCCGCAAAATACGCGTTTGTCTCTTCCATCACCTCTTCATTTGTCTGAAATCGCTTTCCACCAAGCTATTTTGTTAAGTTTGGGAACAGAAAGTAATTGGAGGGAGCCAGATCAGGTGAATATGGCGGTTGAGGCAATAAATCGTAACGCAGTTTGGCTAATTTTTCTGCAACAATAGCGGACGAATGGACAGGCGCATTGTCGTGATGGAACAAAACTCTTTTCTTCAACAAATGCGGTCATTTTTTCTTAAGTTCGGCATCAAAACGTGTCAGCAAATCAGCATAATATGCGCTAGTTCAGTGATGATGTATTTATGGTTCCACTGACAATTAAAGTGACAGTAGATTTTTTGAGTGCGTTTTGTTCGTTTTGTTTACCTAAATTATATCGTTTATTCACTTTTATAAATATATTCCTAAAGTAAGTAGATAATATGCATCAAATATACAATCGTATAGTTACCAATTACATACCTTTGAACTATTTTTTATGAACTCCAAACAATATTTAGAAATAAACTAAAAACAGTAAAAACGTATATATGTCAAATTTATTAATGTTTTTGCTAAAAGTTTGGTTAGAATTAAATGTCAGTGGAACCAAAATGACATCACACTGAACCAGCGCATTGGCCAGTTATCGTTTTTCCTTTTTCTAAATAATCAATAAAGATTACACCTTTGGAATCCCAAAACAATGGCCATGATCTTATTGGCCGAAAAAAACGGTTTTTGCTTTTTTGGGAGCACGTTCCTCGGATGAAGTTCATTGTTTCGACTGTATTTTTGTTTTTGGGGTATAATGGTGTACTCAAGTTTCATCTACTGTGACATATCGACGGAAAAATTCACTTGGATTACGGTTGCAGATATCCAAACATTCGTTTGAATTTTTAATGCGACCGAACTTTTGATCAGCATTAAGCAAACGCGGCACCCAGCTTGCAGATAGCTTTTTCATATGTAAAATTTCATGCAAAATATTGCATACCCGTTTAGTTGAGATATTTACTTCATTAGCTATCTCATGTACTTTTATTCGACGATCGCTAAGTACAAGGACATGGATTTTATTAACCAATTCTGGAGTAGTTACAGTAAATGACGGTCCCGGACGTTGAGCATCATCCGTGTTCATATGGCCACTTTTAAAAGCAGTGAACCACTTACAAATCATTCCATGGGACAGAGCACTTTCAGGATAATATTTACGTAACTTTTTCTCGGTATCTTTAATTGTTTTTCCACGTAAAAACTAATGTTTAAAATAATGGATAACAGTTTTCTTTATATGAGTATTAAAACTAATCTATCAGATTTTTGTAAAATTTTGACAGATGATATCAGAAACATGGCGGAAACTACCAATATAATCACCATAGCGAAAGTGTTGCCAACCTCTGAAAAGTCATTCTTCCGTCAAACCGCCCTCGAATTTTGAGTTCTAAATTTATGAAATTAATAACTGAATTTAGTAGTTCATTTAGTGTCCTAACAAACAATTTTGTATCATATCCTTTTCAGGTCGGTGGTAAATTAGAAGACACAACAATGGTCCGTGGCGTAGTCATAGACAAAACAATGTCTCATCCCCAAATGCCAAAAGAGCTTAGAAATGTCAAACTGGCCATTCTCACCTGCCCCTTTGAACCACCAAAGCCCAAAACCAAACATAAGTTGGATGTTGCCAGTGTAGAGGATTACAAAGAATTGAGGCAGTATGAACAAGACAAGTTCAAAGAAATCGTTAGTCTGGTTAAGAACGCCGGCGCCACATTGGCCATCTGTCAATGGGGTTTTGATGATGAAGCCAACCATTTGCTTTTGCAACAGGAGTTGCCGGCCGTCAGATGGGTGGGCGGTCCCGAAATAGAACTTATCGCTATCGCGACCGGCGGTAGGATTGTGCCGCGATTTGAGGAACTTAGTCCTGAAAAACTTGGTTATGCAGGTTTGGTAAGGGAAATATCCTTTGGTACCACCAAAGATAAGATGATGGTGATAGAAGAATGCAAGAATTCCCGTGCCGTGACTATTCTAGTTAGAGGCGGTAATCAAATGCTGGTAGCTGAGGCTAAGAGGAGTCTACACGATGCGTTATGTGTCGTTAGGAGTTTAGTACAGGTACATTCTTTTATGAGCTTCTGTTAGTAAATCAAGATGTACAGGATGATTTTGAAATACATGTAGATATTAAAACAGTTTAATATTTAGGTTCTCACAGAATGTTCGTAATATTTTGAAAAAATACCAATTTAATATGGAACAAGTTACGTATAAACAAAGTCATCTTAACATTTTAAAAATTGACAAATAACTGATGGAAGTTATTACATAATTAAAAGACGGTAGAGAAACAGTTATAATCTACAAAAGTGTATTAATAAAACAATTTTCTTCTACAGCTCTAACACAAAACTACAATTTCTCAACTCTTTTTGATTAAAAATGAGGTACCATTGTGTGAAATGTAATTTTATTTTCTTTACTGATGACACAAAGTAATTTCCATATCCTTCTGATAGCACATAGTAGCCTTCCCTAACTATTCTAATAAAAATCTTGTTTGCAAAGCCAAAAATTTGAACAATTATGTAGAAGAGAGCTGTCACTTCAATTTTACAAATTATAAAAACTAATTAAAAATTGGTACTGTGGGATACAAAATTTTAACAATTGAGAAAATTACAATAAAAAATACATTTAATTTTACATCATTCAAGTATTAATCCACAGGGTAGTAGGCTTTTCTCAGAAGTACCTTTTTTATTGTCGTCTCGAACGTTGGCAATGGTAGTGATTTTATATCAGTGAGTAGGTTGTTATTGTGTACTTTACCCATATATTTCTGGTACATTTCAGTTTGTGTACATAATATGAGCTGATAATTATGAAATAGATTTGTTTCTTGTATTGTGGCAGTTGTTACTTATACTTGAGGCAATATTTGTTTTTACTTAAACAAGAATTTGGAAAATATAAATGGATAACATGGTAAAAATCCGGAGATTCACAAACTGGTTTTTTTGGTTAACTTCCTCAAAATTGTTCTCGATGCCCTTTTTTGTAGTGTAAAGATCCTACCTGCATTTGGTGATATTCCTAATGCGTCTATTCCATATGATATAATGGAATAAAATTGAGCAAAATAATACATTATTAACACTATTGTCAAGAATTTTACTGAGTTGATATATGGTGTAACATATTGATTCAGCTTTTTCGCATTATTCATTAATGTGACAATTCCACTTAAAATTCTTGCAAATTAGTAGACCTATTTTATAGTAGGGATCTGTTCCATTGATCCTAATAACTTGTTGAATTATAAAGCTACAATTAGTACATGAATAGACCTATCCCGTTATTGAGGATCTTTATTACTCATGCAGAAATCTTACTTTCTCTCATCATCAAAAATTTTTATTTCCTACCCCGAGTTACAATTAAACATCCGCAAATGTCATTTTGTATTTGCATTTGATATTATCCCCTAGGGGGAGCCAGTTAAACTTTTAGGTGTATTATTTGTGAAAGGCAAATTTACAAATATTTTTCGTTAATTCTTACCTTGTAGAACACGGAAATAGTTTCCTGCAGTCCCTTCAAAGATGGAGCCCTAGATGATATCGCCTTATAAAAGCATGTGTAGAAAATGCTGCCATAGAAATGCAAGCTTGAATCTTTTAGATATTGGCTTGAAATTTTGCTCACAGTAGCTTCTTGCTTGCTGACAGGACATTTCATCATCAGACCGATTTCCGTAAACGATTTTCAGTGGCGGCTTGTGGTGATTTAAAATGGGGGTTCAATTTTTTCCAATAATTTTAGCATTTGTAAAACTTTGTACAAGAGCCAATATCCCTCAAAACTTCTTTGGAATCTCCGTTTTATTGCAATTAAATTCAGATTTTTTTATAAAATTCCTGAGATATGAAAAGGTTTCTTGATACCATCACTTAGATGATCCATTACTAGAAATGGTACAAGCGCAGAAACTACCGTTTTTATTTCATCTGAAACTCGTGATATTTTCGAAGAACTTGTCAATCTAAAAAAGCAAAATTTTTTGTTTTGGTTAGTTTTTAGAGAGAACAAACCTAAGAGCTGCCAGTTAATCCTGAAATATGCTTTTTATACTTCGCACAAACATTTGCTTTTTTAGTGAAGCAATTCTCGATTATATTACGTGGCTATACAAAAGCCACTATACCCACCCTGGGCATTGCAAAGCCAAGATGAAAATAATGGGTTTTGTTCAAATTTCGCCCAGTAGAACTTTTTAAAACTTTATTTACACTACACCACACTATAAGTAAAATGCAATCGTATTAAGCAAATTCAAATACACGCTGCAAACCCCGAGAAAAATATTTTAGAATAATCGGATATTTTCGATTTTTTAGAGATATTATATTCGATTTTGATTAATCGATTACAATTATTATACTGTTTTCAAACACTACAACTATTAACTAACTTACTGTACTCTAGTGATAAATAAATAATCGATTCATAAAAGTAATCGATTATTGGAAAAAACGATTGATCGAAAATAATCGATTAATCGAAAAGAATCGAAATAATCTAAAAGAATCGAAATAATCTAAAAGAATCGAAAATAATAAAAAAGAATCGAAATAATCGAAAAGAGTCGAAAATAATCGATAAATCATAAAGAATCGATTATTTTTAAGTAATCTACTAGTCCAAAATAACTAAATATTTATTTTGATGATCGTCCGCCTCTAACGTTTTTAGCAATCAATTTTGACAACAAAATGATTTAAATAAGAAGTTTTATTTGAGTAATTGGATTTTTTTTTTTTTATTAATTTATAGAAATCTACTGAAATCTACAAAAAGAAAATTGTCTACTAAAACTAGCCAAAATAGCTGAAAACCTACCAAAAAAGCAGAAATCTACCAAATTTGGCAACGTTGAATTAAAGACTCCCAGTCAGAGTGACCTTGATCAAGCACAATAACTAATCGTTTGACCAAGCGAAGTTAACTGTCGTGACGTAATCTATGTGCGATGCACAAAATGATGCTAAAAATAGCGTGATTTCAAGTAGGCACACTGCTGTTTCACGGATCTATTAACCTGTCTTTTTAACATTCATTCTCAGACACCTCTTGCATTCACTAGACATATTGAACCGACAGACGCGATCAGCCTGAGCGCAGTGGGGTACCAAAAAAAGTAGAGATTAATACGTACGAAAATAATAAATGTATTAAAGTGAATTTATATTATTAAGTTATTTATATGTGATTTTTAAAATAACGTGCTCTTATGAAATTTAACTGGGTGTTCACTGCTCAAATGAGCCAATGGAGAAACCGCCCCTTATTGATATAAATTGGCTGTCAAAACTTTTGGTTAGGTATTTCGTATTAGGAATTTTTTTTTTTAATTTGGTGTCATCGGCGTCGACTACTACGGCCATTAGCCTCGCGTTCTGTGTAGGATTTGTTACTGTTTCCCAGCGCCACTTTAGGAACAGCACTGTTAACTAGAACCCAACAGTGAATGGTCGAGTGGGGAATCCTACAAAGGCATCAGAATTAATTTTAAATAATTAAATTAAATGAAAAAATCCCGGCCAACGGTGGGATTCGAACCTGAGACCTTCCGATCTCAAAGTCATGACTCTAACCACTGAGCCAACCACCCCCCCCCCCCCCCCCCCCCCCCATTAGGAATATTATGTGCCAAATTGTTTTAAATTATTTGCTAAAAAAAATAAATAAAAAATAAATTGCAGTCATTTATGCCGTGTACTAATTCTTGATTCTCGAAATAAACACTTGATATTTAGGATTCAAAATTAATTCAAGGTACTTCAGTTTCTACCCGGATCGGGGTCGCTGAAATCAACGTAGTAATTATGGAATTTTGTACAGGAAAATTGTTTACATACATTATATTATAGGAGTGGTCCTAAAATAGAACCTTGTGGTACTCCAATTTCACATCTCATTTGCTTGGATTAAGTTTGGTTAACAGTCACATAGTGAGTCCTTTTGTGTAGGTAGATCATAAATTAAATCAAGATCAAGCAATTCAACTAAAATCGTACCTACCTAATGTACTATCTTTATTGGACATCATACCCTCTTGTCATTTTTAATATGTACATGTATTTCAGTAACATACCTGGTATAACAAGAATATTTAATATTATCTTAAAAAACTTATTCCTGTCAAATAATTGATGGATGTTGTTTTTGTAGGAACCAAGAGTAGTTTATGGTGGAGGTGCAGCGGAGATCGCCTGCAGTTTGGCAGTAGCAGCCCAAGCTGATCAACTGGCAACTTTGGAGCAATACGCATACCGCGGCTTCGCCGAAGCTTTAGAAAGCATCCCGTTGGCTCTCGCCGACAATAGCGGTCTTTCTGCCATCCACACCTTAGGAGAAATCAAGGCTAAACAGTCCGCCACCGGAGATCCAGCCTTGGGCGTGGATTGCATGAACACCGGCAACATCAACATGCGTGAGCAACATGTTACTGAATCTGTTAAATCTAAGCGGCAACAATTGCTGTTGGCCACGCAGTTGGTGAAGATGATTTTGAAGATCGATGATGTACGTCAGCCCGGCTCTGGTTAAAAACATCAACGTTTTCGAGGAAAAAATCTGCTTTAAAAATAAACAAGTTTCTGTAATTCTCATTTATTAACGTTCAATGACGTGTCACGTTTGTAACTGCTTTTTTGTCTAAACCATTTAATTTATAGTATTAAATATTTATAGAAAATGAATAAATGTGTTTGATTTATCAATTTCTGCCTAGAAGAAGTAATCAAATAATCTATAGATGAAGATTGACATATAGGATGTAAATAATTATGGTGCCAGTTAAAGTACAGGCATCCAAGGCACATGAATAGGGCACCCTGTACTATAAGAGTACCAATGATCTAGATCTCTTTTATTAAAGGAAATCAATTTAATGGTTATAAACAAAATAAATGGCGCAAGATTTACATTTTGCTATTATCTTGCTAGGATGTATCAAGGATTTTTGATACAATAGTTACATCAAGTTTTACGCAACAATCCAGATAAGACAATATTCACATGTCAAAACTCTTCTCTAAGAAACTATGAGATTTTGTTTAAAATTTTTAATATTCTCTAATAAAAGATAATTGAAAGCATCAATAAGAGTTTTATTCGTTACAATCGCTCAAGATTTTTATTTGGCGATTTTACATTTGCTTCATGTGGCGATATTGAACATTCTGGTTTATAACTTTTAAGTTTGGCTACCTAAGACATTTTGCCAAAACAGTGTCAGGTGTGAACTTAAATTATCATTTTAGGTACTTATAATTCAGTTATTGAACCATTTTATATTCAGTGTGACAAAACATCAAAGGCGTCAAAACTATTAGTTTTCATTTCTAGATCTTCCACGGATTTTTCTGTTTTTACGTTCAAAACGATGTATTGTTCTCTAAAAGAATACTGCTCGATTATAAAGGGTGTGAAAAGTTATGTCATAGATTACCAAAAAATAAGTGGATTTGGCTATATTTACCTATATCAAAAACTAGCTCCCACCAAAGTTACAGGGCGTTAAACTAACATTCAGAAAAACATTTTTTTTTTTTGTAAACAGTTTGCTGTTGCGATTTTTTCTTTGAAATGTTTGCCAGTGCTGTAGATTTGAAGGCCCAATATTCTAAGGAGTAAAAAAAAATTAAAGCGACTCCTTTAAAAAAAGTTGGGGGGTTGGGTACCTTTTAACCTCCCCGTATTTTTTTTTATTTTTGACATAAATAAACTTGCTTTATCCATCTTAAAATCAAAAAGAACTATGAATTTTTAAATGTTTTTATAGCATAATGAACTTTATATCTTTCTTAGTTAACGAGCTTTTTACAATTTTTTAACTGAATTTCTAGAGCAATTCGTCCGTCCTGGACTAAACAGATCAACAAAACTAAGAGTAGGTCAGGAGTTATTGTACAAAAAACGCATATAAAAATCATTGGTGTGTCTAGGGCTATGCTTGAGCCGCCCCTGCAAAAACTACCTCTTATTTATATGTTGTACAGGGTGTTTGTATATTCGACCGACAACGCTCTATCCCAGAGAGCTCTCGTTAATTGATGAATTTTAATATAGGAACATGAACCCTTACAGGGCTTAGTTACCGAGATACAGGGTGTTAAAGTTAAAACTTTTAAATCAAAATTTAAAATTTTGCATAAATTTTATGGAGTTGACTGATTAACCTATCAACGTACAGCCAAAATTACTGAGCCTAGAAAGCTGAAATTTGGAACATAGCGATGGCTCAATCAAATACTGCCACAACTCAAAAACTATTGTTTCGAGAAATTTCATTTTGAAATTTGTAAGTCTCTATTATCATTATTTTGTTTTTGACATAAAATCTTTATATTTTATTTAAAATCTTTAATATTTTGCTGTTAAAATTAACGATTACGATTATAAAAGCGGGTTATTGCATAGATTTTATAAAATTTGGGTGTTTTTGCAGAAAATAACTCGAATTGGGGTAGTTTTAGACACAATATGTGACTAGATTTTAAATGATTTTTGGGCATATTTAAGGATATTTTTATTTGTGGCGGTATTTAAAGTAAAACCTTGATGATATTTTGCATCCATTGGACCAAAAATGTCATTTTTTTTTTGTTTTTTGACTTGTGGCGATTTTTGATTGAGCCATCGAAGGTTTATTTTATAACGTAAGCATCCTCTAAGAAAGGATTTTTGGAAATTGTAACTTTAAAGGGGGGAAATGGGGAGAGGGAGCTTTTAATGAAACTCTTTGTTCTTTAAAGTTAGAAACATGAAAATTTAAATTACAGCTATTAAGCATAATTAATGACGTGTTTCAGGGTTTTTGGATTTTTACATTTTAAGGGGGAACAATGGGGGGGGGTGAAAGTTTGTATGGGATCATCGTTTTTTTTGTTCTTTGAAGTTAGAAACATAAAAATTGGCATTGCAGCTACTGACTACAAATTATTAATGACGTGTTTCAGTGTTTTTGGATTTTCATATTTTATGGGGGGAAATGGGTGAAAATTTATTTGGGAATATCCATGTTTTTGGTTCTCTTTAAAGTTAGAAACATGAAAATTGGAATTGCAGCTACGGAGTACAAATTAATAGTGACGTGTTTCAGGGTTTTTGGATTTTCACCTTTTAAGGGGCGAGGACCAGGAATGAAAGTTTATTTGAAAGTATCGATTTTTTTTAAGGTAGGAACTTGAAAATTGGAATTGTAGATTCTCATCATAAATAAATAATGAAGTCTTTTAGGGTTTTTGCATTTTCACATTTTAAGGGGGGAAAACTAAAAATAAATAAATATAAATAAAAATAAACAAAAATAAATAAAAATAAATAAAAATATATAAAAATAAATAAAAATAAATAAAAATAAATAAAATTAAATAAAAATAAATAAAAATAAATAAAAATAAATAAATAAATAAAAATAAATAAAAATAAGTAAAAATAAATAAAAATAAGTACTGCGTGCAATCTGGTGATATTAGCAGATGAGAGCCGTACCAGAAATGTATAAAATGAGATTAATATATTTAAATATTAGAATAGTCCAATTAACATTATTCTATAATACTATCACAAACATATAAACAACATATCGCGTCTTTTTTTAGGAAGTCATGCATTTGTTTATACTAAAAATACTACTCCGCGCGTGCGAAGCCGCCGGCAACAGCTAGTTATCTATAAAGCAAAAAATTAGTTACGTAAACCAATCTTAACTTGACTTGAGGTTTTTAGGTTTAATTAATATTTGAATAATAATAAACATAATCAAAAAATAAAATAAATTTATTTAAAAAAAAAACATACAAATTCAATATTTAAAAAATATATCAAGTAGCTGGGACTATCGGGTTGGGACTATCGGGCTGCTACATAATCCAAGATAGCATTGCGTCTCAGACGTAATAAAGAATGTGATAGATATCTAAAACAGAAAACACACAGTATAAGTATAAAAATAAACGTGAAAAGTCCACAGCAAAAACCATCAAGTTCTATGAAATCAAATTTTTCAGGAGAGCGAAAATTGATTGTGATGTTTATTGCATTCTATGCCCGATCTTTGGTATGCGATTTCAAAGGAACCGTGATGGTTTTTTAATGTTTTATTTTCTCACATGATACTATTGCTTAAACACCAAAAGATGGCATTAAAAACTCAAAATCACCTAAAAATGGAATTTGATGATTTTGCAGTGGCCCTTCAAATATATTAATCAATAATAAACTGATTAAATAAAAAATAGAACCAAAGAGGCATAAAAACAACAGAATTTTTAATTTTTTTTTTGATAAATGAATCCGTTTTTAATGTTCTTTTGGTTTGTTTCAATAGTATGGTTTTAATGCAAAACGTGTGGCAGATATATGTGATTCCGTAAAACACAGTTTTTAAAACGCTGTGCTAGAATCCAAAACTGGTACTGACATTCATATAGAAAGTTTAAAACTTACCAATACATAACATTTATTTAGTCTAAATCATTTGAAGTTGAAAGCAGTTCTTTCGCTGAATATTTTCTGTCCAGACACAAAAGGCGATTTCAAAACTAATTTAAAGGCAATCCATCCGATACGCTACCAAGAACTGTTAGGAAATAACACAAATATCACAGAACACTTACAAATATAATGGAAAACAAGCTTACAAATCTCAACCATAGTATAGAGAACAATCAGTAGTGTAACCCCAGTATATATACCAATACAGTAGCGACAGATCATTTTTTATGAGGGGTCCATATTTTTCTGCGCATGTCCGAAAATAAGCGACAAAAACGTCAACGTCAATAGTGTCAATGCGATGTAAATGTAAATAATGTAAATATGTCATTATTTTTGTTTGTTTGCAGTGCATATATTGAGACATTTTTATTATTTTAGTTTTTCATTTATTGTGTGATATTTTTGAAATGGCTTCTGCACCTGATCAGAAAAGAAAGATGTGTCTATCGCCCTTGTCCATCTCAAACAGAGTAAACAGACAAAGGGACAAGTTATTTTGCATTTCCCATGGAGCCAGAAAGGTATGTCTTAAGAAAATACTTTCAATTTTTATATTTGAAAACCAAATATTTATTTGACAACCAAATATTTATTATTTAAATGTCTGGAGGACAATTTTTACAATTTCAACAAAAATAATGCAAAAAATATATAATTTCTGAACTACCCGCCAATCTAAACATTTGTTATCAACTTTTTTATATTTTAGGGCCAACATGTGGTTAAGAGCTTGTAATAGGGAAGATTTGAGTAACATAGATGTGAACAGTCTTCATCGGAATTACAGGTTGTGTGAGAAACATTTTGAGAAGAATTGTTTTTCTAAAACGTTGAACCGTAAACGTTTATTGCCTACTGCTGTTCCCCACATTTTTTATCCATCTAGGTCATCAGCCAAATGTCTATCTTCTCCCTAATACATCGACCAAGTGCTTCCTCTGTTGAGACTATCATTGAACATGAACGAGACATTTTTGAAAGCGTACCATGTGCAACCTTTGGACATTCTTAATCAAAAATCCTACCTCCAAATTATTATAATGAATTAGATGTTCTTTGATTCACTATGTCCATTGATTAAAAATGTTCTGATTGACTACATCTAATCAAAATATATATGTATTTCTTGTAAAGTAGCAAAAAGAAAACAAAAAAATGTATTTTGTGGTGTTATTATTTTAACTGTTTTTTAATT